GACTGGTTGTTTCTCAAAGAGGCTCATTGACTCGGTTTTCGCAAGCTTCACCCGCGTTGGGAACCCCTCTGCAAAGCCTTGCCAAGTCTAAGTCGTTTACCCACTTTGCTCGATGGGCTTGGGTAGGCGAGAGCCTGGACTGACGGTCTCTACTTAGTAGTCAAGAAATCAGTTTCGCAGGCACATGACAGCTGAACAAGACTCTTTCCACACAGCCAGGGTACGAATGCAGGTATTCAATTCTCCTGATTTCCGTTTAACAGTATTGGACCCCGGGCTCATGAACCTCCAAAAGCAAATTATTGCTAATGAAAGCAGAAGGCTTGCAGCTTTCTACGGCAAGGGGTTGTGGTATCCGCTCTCTTCATCTGAACAGCCAATCATGCAGTGTCCTCATAACTAATTCTCCATCTCCCGGCCGCCGGAGCCCTGGCTCGCACGACCTCGGAAGCCCGGGAAGAGATCCTACTCTCCATATACCCTGCAAGCGGCACTGGGATCCAAGCAAGGCCAAGTCGGCCGGCACACAACAACTCAAACTGAGTGTCCCCGATGGCACAATTGGCTAGCGCGTCAGACTGTTAATCTGGAGGTTGGTGGTTCGAGCCCACCTCGGGGAGAGATAGTGGTTAGATTCCACCTGTGCTACTTCACGATATCTTTTGTTATTTTTATATGTCATTTTTGAACCTCACACCTCTTTCAAGCCCTTCGCAGTGCAAATCAGTATGTATGCATGTCGCAGCTGACTATCATAGCCCCTTCCTCATGTTTTTGTTATTGCGTACGAGTCTACGTCGCCGTAATTTTCCATTAAGTTGAGGCAATGTCACTGCAGTGGTTCAGGCGGCCCTCTACAAGTCGTCCTAGGGGGCAAAACAGCAATACCGCCTGATTCACTTACGGCGTATGACAGTCTTCGTTTGGGTCCTGTATACTTGGGCCCCGTGATCCTTACATACAGCATTTGCGAGGACTGGACTTATGCTTGCGAGGGTATGACCCTAGCACAACCGTGGAGTGCAAGGGTGGGTGTCCGGAAATGCTCGCCGGCAGGTCTAGTAAACATACCCTGCCCTTCTCTGGGCATGGGTTCGACTTCTGACGGCACGTGTAGGGCCGCACCGAATTTGCGTCCTCCCCAATTATGGATGTTTCCTCGAGAGAAGGGGCTTCATCTGAAGTACACATCATGAAGGTCAAGATACCGGGAGCAAACGAGCCCATTTCGCGCGATAAGTGGCAATGCTTCTGATACTAACATTCGAAGTTGTCAGCTCATATTGTACACACCAACAGCGGCTCGCAAAAGCATCCAGGGATCATCTCCACTGGCGTTGTTGTTACCTTGTTCGATCCTAATTGGTGAGCTGCTTTCTTTTTGCAAACTGGTAATTGGTCCTGCCAGAGTCCTGGTCATGGGCGTGAGAACACACCTTGGCAGGTGACAAACTGAAGAAACCGACAAGCAGCTCGATTGGACAGCTTCACCTTCGGTCAAGGCCGCCTCACCGGCTTGGTCTGGTGCCCCCATGTGCTTCGTCCCTGTAAGGGGTGGTTCTCCACCTCAATATCGCTAGGAGCCTTAAAGCTTGAACTCCATGTCTGTTGTCTGCGGCCCCATGTGAGTTTCCCCGTAATCGTCATTGTGACAGGTCACTTACCACCATGTTGCAGCCTCGTAGATCTCTCACCGCCTGCAATAAAGGCCCCTGTGTCTCTGGCTGCGTAAACCGAGAGTTGCCAGGGTAGCATGGAATGTTGCTGGAAAGGAAACAAGCAAGTATCACATCCTGGTTTATTGGTCAGCTGCGAGTCTGTGGCCTCGATTTGTCTCATCAAGGCCCTTGAGTATTGGCAGTCTGCGCGCGTCTTGGGCCTGGCAAATCCTCCCAACTGGCATTCTTCAAGGCTGTCATACTTTCTGCAGGCATCGCTATGTTACACAGCCTCGGGGACTGCCACTTGCGGTGCATCAACCCTGGGCCCTTGTTGGAGGGGACTTTGTTTTGTTGGCCGTTTTTCTTCCTCACTTCTTGGCAGCCTTCTTCTCTTTCGACATCTTGCTGCATCGGAAAAAGCTTCAAGAGCAACCACATCCAGTAAATCACCTATCAAGCGACAGGGGTCCCGGGGTGTCCGGACCTCATCATCAAGGAGTAGCATCACATGGAGAAGCTGGGACCATAGCCAGTGACTGATACGGAGTTTCCATGGGTCCTAAGAAACTCGTCATAGGCCACTCATTACACGCTTTCACCGCTGCTTCAATTTGGGGCGATGCTTCAGTCATCCGAGTTGTCCGGGACCCAAGGCTGACAGCAATTTAGACAACCCAGGTCGCAACTTTACAAGGCAAGTTATTTTGTAATGCATACTGCCACAAATGGCAATCGGCCTCAGAAATGGGTGGCTGTCATCGGCCTAGACCACCTAAGCGAGCCGGACCAAGAAGTGATTGATGCTGGGGTTGATTTCCTTTGCCCTTTTTCTGTTCGATCGGGGGGCATGTGAGTATTGCGCCCAGAAATCCCCCTTGCCCGCGAAGTCCTCGAAGCCATGGAACGAGACCTGGCTAAGCCTTGCTGCCTAGGATCCATCGAGACAGTAAACAGCAATGGACACGTCAGGCCGACTGACGTGTATACAGGGCCGGCGAGGGGTGATTGTGGTGTTGCGATGCGAAATGCGATGTGATGTCTCTGAGGCTGTCAGCCTCTATGAATGCCGTGTCTGGCACAGGCTGAATGACCGGAGCTCTTGGCCAACATGGCCTCACAGACGGTTTCGGCAATCCTCGGCAAGCGTGACCAACGGCTGTTGTTGAAATGGGAAAGCCGGAGATATGCGTGGCATTTGACCACGACCCGCGCAGCGCGAGCGGCTTGTAACTGCGATGGACATTGGTTGGGCAGCAACGAGGTTCAAGCGAGTCGGAGATCATCACCAGCGCTCGGTTAGATGGACGTATGGTACAGGGCTGGACGGGCCATGTGGGTGGCACTTTGTGTCACAGAAAGAGAGAATTTCCCATCTAGAGGGTGGCCGGGGAGATGCACTGGGACAGGAGTGGCAGTGAATGATGAACTGGCAGAGGCTAAGCTTCCAGCGCGCGGTCCGATGACCGTGAAGATGATGGAAATGTTGGAAAAAACGAGGCGTACTGCGGACGAAGGCAGCACTTCTGCCATGTCATGAATGGGGGCCTGTCAGACCTGACGGCGCATGAATGCCAGCGAGATGCGAATACCCCCTTCAAGCAGCTAGCTGCATGGCGTGGGCAAGCGGGCAGACCTACGACGGATGGCCTTGATCCTGAATAGGGCAGGGTGCTGCAGGAGGTACTGACCGAGGGCTCCCCTGAGTGGCTGACAGGTCGACTCGGTGAAGCAAAGGCATGGGGGATGGAGCGGTACATTGCGATCAAGTCGAGGGTACATGTTGTGCGACGGCAGCCTCAGGAGGGCGGCGCAGGCAAGACTTGCATCGATATGATGGCGGCCACGACATGGAATGGTGATATTGATCTCAGGTATGTATGGGTCGAGTGTAGTCGGGGAGTGACAGAATGGACGAAGACGGCACCGAGAAAACAAGGGCCAGATCTGCGGTGGGCTGGGCTGTCCGGCCGGGCAACCTCGGGGGCTGCGGAAGGAGGATGCAATGGCGCCGTTCCAATGGCATAGCGGCGGAAGAGCATTCCGAGTCGCGGGGGGGCCGGCTTAGTGGCTCCCGTCATCCCATGCCATCATGCTGGCCTACCCCAACCCTTCAGGTCGTGCTCGAGGCTTTGCTTGCTTGCTAGTTAATTAGCTGCTGCGCCAGGCAAACCGCCTGGAGCTATCGAATGTCGTGCTTTGGTTGTCTTTCGATATCGGCGGAAGCACAAAACATGGAGCCGTCGATGACTTGGGAAGTGAAGCACGGGATGGGTCTCGGAGCTACAATGTCAGTGTGCGGCCTTGTGGAGGAAGTGTGGCGCACGTTGTCGCTCACACTGACCTACCTACCTAAGGTACCGTGCCGTACCGTAAGGTAGGTATCCACAGATCACAGCTGGCTTCCATTAGCTGGGTTAAGGTCGTGGTGTTATCCGTTAATTAGGTAGGTCTCATTCCCTTCCCATCCCATCCCATCCCGTCCCGTCCCTCGCCCTCGGGGTCCACTGTCGCCCGTACGGTGTGTCGCACAAACACCGACACTGTATCTCGGTTGCAACCTCCAGCCCCGAATGACCTACCAGATGGCTGACGGGAAACACGTTGGAATTCACGCCATAGCCAGCTGGAGGTAGCCATGTTTTGGCTTGTGACACTCGATGGAAGAAATGGAAGCCGCGTTGGCTGCTGCCGAGTTATCGGAATCTGCTTGCCCGTCTTAGCGGGGGCAAGCCCCTTCTCAGATCACAGAGCACGGCAGCAGGCAAGTCACAGGTCACTGGAAGGGAAGGCCGCCATCCGCTGGGCTGCCTATTGTACAGTGCCTAATGTACCCAAGTTGCCTTCTGTTACATCGCTCCTCCGACACCGAGACGCCGACACCAACACCGACGACTGGCACTGTCCTCCTCGTTTGGCCCTTTGTGACAGTTTCTTTTTTTCTCCCAACTTCACTCATCCCTGACGACAAGCTACTTCTTGCCGGATTCAACGCCGCGCCAGCTCCGCTCCGCTCAACCTAGTCACGACCTACATTGCTCCATTTCGTACCACACCTCAGCCGTGGAGGAGGCAACAACGGATCCAACCTGTCCCTCTTTTCTCCCATCCGACCACTTCCCCGGGTCGCACAAACTGCCCTCCGCACACGAGATTGCCTCGACGCACCAACAGGCGCCAGCCACGAACTACGCACCCGGACACAAGCTACATACCATACACATCCTAGCATAGCAACGCGTCGCATCGCATCGCATCGCATCGCATCGCACCACTACCACCACCACCACCACCATCACTGTATCCTTACCCGCGATACACACTCTACATACAGTCATAGTCATGGCCGGCAAGAAGGGAGCCGGTGAGAACAGCAAGAAGGCCGCGGGAAACGCCCGCAAGGCCGAGGCTGCAGCCCAAAAGTCTGCTGCCGAGGATGCGAAGAAGGCAGCCGCTGAGGATGCCGAATGGTCCAAGGGCTCCAAGAGCAACGCAAAGAAGTGAGTGTGTCTGACGCACCCTCCACACAGGGAGCAAAGTGTATGCGGGCGTGAACGCGGCTTCCGAATGCCGCAGCCAACACCGTCGTCCAGGACCGTCACACTTCATGCATACTGTCCCAAAACAAGCCGGATCTCTGTTACCCCGCAAAGAACAAGGAAAGAAACACATGGCACAGGACATTGGCTGACACGCTGTTTGATGCCAGGGAGGCGGAAGCCGCCAAAAAGGCCGAGGCAGCCCGCAAGAAGGCTGAGCGTGAAGCCGCGTTGAAAGAGGAGGAGGCAAACACACCGGGGCGATCCGCGCCTAAGAACGCCAAAACGGCTGTCAAGAAGACCCGCGGACTCGACCTGTCGCAGTTGGACGACAAGCCCAGCGGCTCCCTTGCCGCCCTTAACGCTTCGGGTATTGACAACGCCCTTGATGCTCTGTCGCTCACAGGCTCCTCCGATGCCAAGGTTGACAGACATCCCGAGAGACGCTTCAAGGCCGCCTACGCAGCCTTTGAGGAGCGCCGACTCTCCGAGATGGATGAGGACGGCTCGGGTAAGGGTCTGCGTCTGCAGCAGAGGAAGGACAAGATCCGAAAGGAGTTTGAGAAGAGCCCCGAGAACCCTTTCAACCAGGTCAACGCCCGCTTCGATTCCAGCAAGGAGGAATTGGCGCAGCTGAAGGCCAATGAGAAGAGCAAGATCGAGAACAGGCTTGGTTCCAAGTAGAATCTCTTGTCACTCTCGCCTTCCGTACCTATGGTAGCCCTCCACCAGATCAAGGAGATACACATACCTAGTAGATATAGCACAGAGATGATAAGGCTGGGACTCGACTAGCATCGGTCACCCACCTACGATAAAAATGACATGATTACTCGAATATGCATCTGATCATGAGGCCAAATTTGCCCCTCCATCACGATTGTGCGAATGAGATCTCTCGCTGTGGTACATGACATGTTATGTCTCTGGCGAACAACTGCTGCCACTGGTCGAAGAGACAGCCTGCCACGCCGTCATCCGTCTGCCACGTTGTCTCCTTGTTTTCTCCTGCCTGAACGGCCACCACGGTGTCATCACCAACGCGGGACCGACATCGCTACATTTTTTGGCGGGGTAGCTTGCCCACTTACGTAGGTGAGGTGGGGTAGGTAGTCACTGTGCTGCCCGCCTTCCTGATAAGATAACATTCTTGAAGCTCTCTATCGCGATAAAGAATACTGGCGGCAGAATATTACACCGCCTTTTTTGACCGCCCTCAGCTGTGCATGAACAAGCCCATCGACAACCGTCTCATAATCCTAACGACATCATTATAGGCATATTTCATCTCATCAGAAAAGAGGCTATTTTACGAATGTCTCATCAAACCTCAAAATGTCGAGTCTAAGAATGGGCAGCATGCCGTCGCTGAGGCGGCAGCATCTCCTGGCCGAATTGTGAGGTTCTTCCAAGTCTCAACCCACGCCCAAGCCCCCTGAAACCGGGGGAGAGGGGGTCAGACACAAATGCGGCTGCTAACGCTTGCTCACAGTGCCGGTCTCAAGCAGGCCTGCCCGGAGGGTGTATTTGTGAGCTTGACGCCGGGAGACCCGATGCTGTGGTCGGGCGTCATGTTTGTGAGGCATGGTACTGGAAACTCATGATGAGATCACAATCAGGCAGCATGCTGAGACCATCATACAGGACCCTACGCTACGGCAATACTCAGATTTCAAATATCATTTCCCGACACATACCCGCGGCTGCCGCCACTCGTGACCTTCTCGACAGACATGTTCCACCCGTTGATCACACCATTAACGACCTACATGTACACCACGGATATCCAGGACAACGGCACAGTGAGCGCAACTGACGCAGAACGCCTGCCTCCCGGCGGCTTCAGCCTACGACACGGATTCCCAGCTTGGTTTGGACGAGGAAGCCGAAGTGTGGCGGGTAGTAGGCAGGCCAGCGGCCAGCAGCAGCCCCCGGCAACGCCGGCGAGAGGCGGTACATCAAGCAGTGCGGCGACGACACCAAGTTCCAAGGCTACGCCGATTGGAGGGCGTCCGGGATACCTCGACACCTCGCGACGGGAGGTTTCGACGTACGAGGTTTTGAGATACATTAGGAGCACGTTCGATGATGACAGTGTGCTTGATTCGGTGCCGCTTGAGGCTGCTGGCAACCCGGGCGCTTGGCACGCATGGCGGACGCGTCAGCGCCAGGCGGGCAATGTCACTGAAGACTCTGCAAAGCGGCCAGTGGAGGCGCAGGAAGGGGAAACTGAAGAGAGGAAGGCCGAGGGAGAGACGGCCGCGGCTGATGGCCAAGACAAGGCTGAACAGCCAGTCCCCGAGGCCGAGCCTGCTGCGCCGGCGACACCCGTCGCGAACACTATCAAGCGGAAGCCAGTGTCGGGCGTTGTGCCTACCCCGCGGCACCCTGGAGAGTGGAACTGGGAAGGAGTGTGGGAGGACAGAGTACAGAAGGGCATCGCGGCGTCCCTTTCGGAGGCGGTGCTGTACGGAGCGGCCAGCGGCGGTGACGATTTGGTGAGTCTTCTTCACCTGGAAAGTGATGAAGCAGCTGCTAACTTGGCGCAGATCAACTTCCTCGCAATGGAGGAAGGCGAGGTGGATTCTGTCCGTGAGAACCTGCAGCGGACGCTGGGAAGCGGCGCCGCGACCCCCGAAGAACGAATTAGCATGCAGGGCGTGCCTGCTGGCGAATGATTCCATGGTTTATGATAGCGACTTCCACCTTTTGTCTCATGAAAATCCTATGCTAGATGACCTTTTCTACCCCTTCCCTCTGCTGTTGCTTGAACGCAATCGCGAGAGATATTTCCACCACCGCATCCAACACCCATAGCATCGAGAACCTCAATAATAACAATCTTCAAACGCCAGCCATTGTGCGTCAGTATCTCATCTCGACTATGGGCCTATCACCAATAGCCTTTGTCGTACTGATTGTTCTCGCAACTGTATCGCTTCCACTGATCTTGTTTGCTCTGCTCTCGCGCTTCGTCTGTCGCAACTTCAGAGACGCGGCCGGCCTCCGCGAGCCCAATCCTCGACGCTAGTTCGGTCTGAGACGTGCCCGTGACGACAGCTCCAGCAACAACAGTAGCAGCCTGAGCTCTGGCTCGCGGTTTCTTACGGACTCCTGGCCTGACCTTGAGAGCACTCGAGGACACAACGACACGCCGCCATTGGACCCTGGCACCGAGCTCATCGACTTCGCAGACGTCGTCCGATCGCCATCGCAAGCTTGGCACCCGTCGAGAGAGAGCCGCCTGGTATGGAGCTTTTCGCCGACGAGAATAGACCGGACGGCACCGCAACACCTCAACCGCTCCGAGTGCTCAAGAGATTCGGGCGTCATACTGGAGAGGTCGGAAGACCAGGGAGTGTAAGGGGCGTGAGCGACTCGGACGAGAGCCGCAGCAGTACCCCCGAAGGCCCTGACAGGCCTTTGGTGGTCCTAAAGAAGAGAGGAATGCAAAATGGCAGAGAAACACCTGGACAGCTTGGTTTCAAACCGAGCCGTCATCACCGCCCTCCTCTCCCAGCATCAAAGAGTGAGACTTCTCAGCTGAAAAAGCATAGACCCCGCTAATGAAGCATAGTTTTTCCCGACACTGACGACGAGGTTGGAGATGATACGATTCGCGCATCTTACGATGGCAACGACCAGATCGCACCGCTTTTATCTTGCGGTCCTTTATTTTCTGACCCGTTTAGTGCCCGTATGCCAACGAGAGATCCGGCAGTTCTTGTGCCTCGGGTTGTGGTGACGCCCGCAGTCAGAGCCATAGAAGGCGACAGGGGGGCTATGTGGATTGCTGTCGAAGTGTCGGCAGAGCTGTGCCAGCCGACCGATGGCACGTTTCTTCCAATGACCCCCGTCTCCAACAATGGATTCCCGGTTCCTGGAACCGAACCTCGTCAGCTTGGAGGTACGTTGAGGCTCCGGAAGATGCCCGTGTGGTGCTAATTTTGGCTCAGATCGATACGGCTGCATATACGATATGGATATCCAACTCATCCCTCTAGGAAATAATTGTATCCTTGAGATCATCCAGGAAGACGAACCGACCCCCAGGTAAAGTTTCGAACTAAGCTTATTGACAAGGGCTAACGAGATTGCAGCATGTTATTTCCGGGATTGAAGGTTCTTGTGCTTGCGCACGTTCACTTCGAGGCCAAGGGACCTATCCCATTCAGGCCAAACGGTCATATCCGGCAACGGTCAGATGATTTGATCGATGACCTTGAAGATCAGCTCGGGAGCTCGAGGGTAGAGTATCTCCGCATCGTGGTCAAATACAAGCACTCAGCATTCCCCAAATGCGGCAGGTCTGACACTGTTGACGGCGTTGCCGATGTGGAGACCAAGCTGGAGACATCGGCCACAGCCGCACTGCAGCACCTCAACCACAGATCACTTTGGTCTCCGTGTGCAATGCTAGCACCAAATCCACTCTTTGGCATCATCCACCAGCACTGGCCGTAGGGTACCAAGAAGGGAAGAGAGGTTATAGAGCGGATTGTTCGGCAGCGGACCCCCCCTGATGTGCCGCCCAAATCTCAGCCCAAGCCCAGAATGGAGTATACTTCGCCTACATCCATGCAAACACCACCAACCGTGCCCAGACGGGAATCAAGTCTCGGGAAGGATGGCACGGTAAGGCAGCCGGAAGCTGCCCGCATCGGGTGGTCTGAGCTCCGGCAGCCTTCGGTAGCAGGTTGGCGGAGGAGCCGCGCGGAAGATGGACAGCGCGTCCCGTCAAATGCAACGTGCCCCGAAGATTCGGCCTCCGATGACAGGGATGTCAGGTCTCCGGGAATACTGAGAAGTCCGCGCTCCATGGGGGCCGGGTTGCTCAGGACCTTGGGAGCTTCTGATGACGTGACTGCGGACGGCCAAGCAGCTGAGAGCCGGAGCCTGAGAGGCTCATTCCGTGGGCAGCGCGGGAAGCAAACCAGCCGTTGGGGTTGGACCAGTTGGTGGTAGGAGTATGGATTGTTTGGTTTTCTTTGCAGTTTTACGTAGACGCAGTAGTCCATCGCGTTTCTAAACGCTTCATAATTCAACATTGGAGTTTCGTCTCTGACTTACAGCCGGACTTCACATGTGTTTTATACGCTTTATGCTCTTGCTCGCAACGAAGTGGCTGGCCTGTTACATCAAACTTTATGGCAGGACGCACACCCTCAGCCTAGTATAGCTGACAATAGAGTGAGTGTGAGGGCGAAAATGCAAAATTTACCTTGGACAAGGTCTCGAGGTGGGCACACTTTGAACGCATTTACAGACCGTGTAGTAACCTTTCAACTTTTTTTTCTTTGATTGACTTTTTGGTGTTTTTAGGGGTATTTTGCTTTTACGAATTGACAAGCATTTACTGCTGAAGCTCATCCCTCCACGGAATAGAGGTCTGGGCACCCTTACGCTCGACGGTCTTGGCCGCCGCGTGGTTGGCCCTGCGGATGCTCTGAGCAATGTCAAAGGTCTCGCCCTTGGCCTGCGCAGCGACGGCAGCAACGCAGTAGGCGCCGACAAAGGTGTCGCCGGCGGCCGTGGTGTCGACGACCTTGGCCTTCTCCGCGGGGATGAGCTCGGCGGCGCCCTCCTTGTTGACGTAGTAGACGCCCCGGCCGCCGAGGGTAATGACGACGTTTTGGACCTTCTTGGCGATGAACCACTCGCCGACGCGCTTCAGCCCCTCGGGGGTGTCGAGGTCGGACTCCTGGCAGCCGGAGAGGATGGCGGCCTCGGTCTCGTTGACGACGAGGTGGGCGAGTCCGTCGTAGGCCTCCTCGGGGAGGCGCTGGGCGGGGGCGGGGTTCAGGAGGACGGGTACGGAGGCGGCCTTTGCGGAGCGCAGGGCGGTCAGGACGGTGTCGAGGGGAACCTCGAGCTGCATGACTAGCAGGTCGGGCTTGGGCTCGAGGGTCTGGGGAAGGGAGCCGAACTTGTCGGCGGTGACGGCGTAGTTGGCTTCCGGGGCGAGGATGATGCGGTTCTGTCCGGTGGGCTCGTCGACAACGATGATGGCCATGCCGGTCTTGAGGTCGTCGCCGACAGTGATGCGGTCGGTGCGGACGCCGTACTCGCCGAGGTGCTTCAGGAGGAGAGAGCCGTACGAGTCGGAGCCGACGGCGCCGATCATGGAGACGGAGGCGGATTCGGAGGCGGCATCGTTCGGAGACTCACGGGACCGGGAGAGCTTCGCACAGGCGACGGCTTGGTTTGCGCCCTTGCCACCGGGGGAGATGACGACCGAGTTCGACGTTAGGGTCTCGCCTGGCAGGGGGTGGTGAGGGACGTAAGACGTCAGGTCAATGTTGAGGGAGCCGAGGACGGTGATTTGAGGAGCCATTTTGGGTAGTGAGGCGCGTGAGTGTCGACGCAGATGGTGTTTCGTGTGCGCGCCGTTTTACTTCTCTTCAGGTGTAATCGTTGGCACGATGGACTTGACAGGTTCTTTATTAGACACGTCTCGTCGTCAGTCGGGTCTTTCGACGCAGTGAAGACAATCGTGGTTCCGAGCGAGAGAGTGCAGCTCGGATAACTGCGGGAGTGACAGATAACGGTAGGCGGCGTGATCCAGTGATGAGGGGCAGAAACCAGGAGCAGAGGATTTCGAAGTTTTCCCAGCCGACGGAACGTGGAGAACACTGCGGTGCAGTGCGGTGAGGGGAGGGGACCCCGCCGAGAGGGAGGGTGGGATGATGATGCACTTGGCGGGGCAGCTGGCTAATGGCTGCCAGGTTCGCAGTTGGAAGATGGCACCGTGGGTGGAGGAGGGTGAGGGGCATGTTGGGTGGGCCTCCCCTGAAGGATTGGCGAATGGTCCTCGGGGCTGGGACGCTCTGCAGCTTAGGGCGACTTTAGCGCTGCTGTAGAACGTCTAGAATATCCACAGAAAATAAAAACGCTGTGAAGAATTCGAACGCCAAAGCAGGGAAAGGAGGGATCCACCGCTTTATTTCGTGTTGTGGTGTTGGCATGGAAAAAATCGCCATCTTAGGAGGGGGAGATGGACAGGGGGCTGGCTTAGTTAGATCGTAGATAGGAGCGGCCTTCCTGTTGGTTCTTGCTCGTTCGGTTTCAATGTTTTGAAGCATCAGACTGCAGTGCAAGACTGCAAAATACCAAGTAAGCATCATTAGCTTGGACATCAACCACTGCCCGCGAGGGCTAGGTCCATACTTTTACCTCGAGTTTAAGGGGCCGTGTCCTGCTAAAAGAGCCGAGCCGAAGAACGGAGCCCACCCTGAAGGTTACTGTAAGCGCATCCGACCCCCTTACCGTCCATGGTTTGAATCCGATCGGGTGTTGCACTCGACGGCACGGGACCTGACGTGCTGACGTCGAAAGGGTCTGGCCTGGTCTCTTTGCCTCGCCCCCATCCAGCGCCGTTCATCTGCCCAGGCGGGATGGATCTGAGATAGACTTGAGGATCCAGACCTTGGACCAGACCCTCCAAAATTCTTCTGTCTTGTCCGAGTCTGAAATGGTTGACAAGTTGCTTCTTGCGAGTGCAGCCGTTCGTACATCTCGACCCAGCGCGACGGACTCGATTTTCTTGCCGCTACCGGCCCGGTAGCCGGGGACAGCCGACCGTTTCCATGTTTCGTTTCGGCCAACACGTGGAAATGAACGACACCACGACCGTTTAGACTTTGGGCGTGCAGACGGCTTTGCGACTTAGACTCGGTTTCTTGTTGCCTCTTAGCTGCTTCTCTTGCTGCTCTTGCTTCTGCCACTGCTGCTGGCTGCTGTCGACGCCGCCCTATCCTGCTCTGCCATGCCATGCCATGCCATGCCACGCCACGCCACGCTGCATCGGGGTGTTAGCAGCTATGGGTCAGGGTCCTTGTTGGTGTGTGAGGTTATGTGTGCGTAAGGCTCCACGGGAGTTGGATTTTAGTTGGGATGAATGACTTGGTGAAATGCTCTAGTGGAGGGGAGCAGAAAATATTTTGAAGGCAGAAGAAAAGGCCCTGGAGAAAGACTACCGGAGACGCAAGAGCTGCACAGTAGACCTGACCTACGTTACCCAAGCAGAGGTGCCCAACGCTCTTTTCCGCTGAGGAAGGTACCTTCCCGTCCTTCCTTACCTGCCTCACTTGCCTTGCCGTACTGCGCCGTCATGCACCGGCCGACGAAGAAGGGAAGGGCCGTGTCCTGCTTGAGCCTCCTGCCTCCTACTCGTTGACAACTCAGACCAGTCTCCCTTTCGTGCTTTCCATTCTCTTAGCGCCGGGTTATCTTTATCCATCATGACCTTTTTTGTTTCTTCGTAATCCTTTTCCACTAAGCCGGCCTCTGCTCTTACAAGTTCCCAATCTTGAGTCCTTTCCGGAATTGCATCTCGATCCCCCAAGACTTCGACTGAAACCGCACACGATTTCCCTCTTACATAAACGTCCGTGAAACGATGGACATCGATCAAAACAGCTCGGCCTGGACGACGACTGCCGCCTGTCTGGCCGTTGTCCTCTTCCTTTATCTTGTCAGGCCGCGGTCATCCTCATGGGGCCACCCGCCCCTACCCCCTGGCCCGCCGGGTGAATTTCTCCTTGGTCATCTGCGTGTTATTCCCAAAGAGAGAACCGCCGAGACGTATGCCGAATGGGCCAAGAAGTACAGTCAGTATCATCCCTCCGGCGCCGTCACCAAGGCTTCGTTATGACTGACACATCTTCAGAGTCAGATGTCATCTATGTCAAATCCCTCGGGCAGCCCATTATTGTGCTCAACAGCGTCGATGCTGCCAGGGATCTTCTCGACCGGAGGGGGGCCAACTACTGCGACAGGCCCAGATTCACCCTCTTTGAGGTGTAAGTTACCCCGAACTCCGTCCGGACGTGTCCTGTCGTCATGCTGAAGCAAATTACCCGCTTGCCAGCATGGGCTGGGGGAAGACGCTGACCTTCCTCCCCTTCGGGCCCCGCTGGCAGATGCACCGCAAGCTGCTGCAGACCACTTTCAGTAACACAAACGTGCGGCAGTGGTACCAACTGCAGGTCACAGAGGCCCGCAAGTCCGTCCACAGCATCATAAAGGACCCAGACAACTGGGAGGTTTCCATGAAGAGGTAAGCCGTGGCAGCGCCCAAACGGCCCTGAACTCTTAACGCCGTCGGCTGACATTTACCAGGTTCGCCGTCGCCATTGTCCTCAAAGTAAGTTACGGAGTTGATGTCCGAGATGACAACGACCCGTATGTAAAGATCGCCGACGATGCCATGTACGCAACTGGCAACGGCGGTGCACCCGCCAACAGCATCGTAGATGTTTTCCCTCCCGGTACGTCCCGGAGTGCTGGATATTCCCAAACCCAGCACTGACAGTAATGCTCGCCGCAGCTCGCCATCTACCCAACTGGCTGGCTAGAGACTGGTCGCTGAAATTTGCGCGAGAATGGGGCTGGGCTATCCAGAAATTGCACAACGTTCCATTCGCCGTTGCTCAAGACGAGGTGGTAAGTGTGTCCTTCGGCTTGTCACGTCGACGCCCGCAAAGCGCTGACAAGTCAAGGCTCGAGGCAAGGAGAACCCGTCCTTTGCGCACACGTTGTTGGAAACGTATAAGTCCAACGCCAAGAACGGTCTGGACAACGAGTGGTCACTTGACGATATCAAGGGGGCAGCGGGCGCCATCTTCATCGCAGGGGCAGACACGGTAACTGAGCGCACCGACGATGATACTCAGACCGAGTAAGACGCAACGCTGACATGAGCTTCAGACCTGGGCCACCATTGTTGTCTTTGTCCTGAACATGGTCCTCCATCCTGAGATTCAGCAGAAAGCTCAGGCATTAATCGACCGGGTCGTCGGGCAGGAGAGACTTCCGACCTTATCCGACAGACCATCCCTCCAATACATTGACCACATTGTCCAGGAGGTGTACAGGTATGTCAGACCAGTTCGACTCAGGAGCACGTGGGATGGTTGCTGAAGAAGAAACACAGATGGTCTCCGTTGGCACCGTTAGGGATTCCCCACAAGTCCCTTGAAAACGATGTCTACAACGGCATGTTCATCCCTAAGGGGTAGGTTCTCTGCCCCTCTTCACCACCACCAACCTCCGCGGCCCGAAAGGAAGCTGCATGCTTCTAGAATGAAAATGCCAACTGCTTTCCCCAGGTCCATTATTTTCGCAAACTCCCGCGCCATGACTCAAGACGAGAGGATATACCGGGACCCCAAGTCTTTTAATCCAGACCGATACAAGCCGCCCTCTGCTGGCGGCCATGGTGAGCCCTTGCCCCTTGGGCAATTTGGATTCGGTCGTCGAGTTTGTGTTGGCCGTTTTCTGGCAGACAACAGCGTCTGGATAGCTGCGGCCACGATGCTAGCCACTCTCAACATTGGCAAGAAGGTCGGACGAGACGGCCAAGTTATCGAGCCAGAAGTGGTGTTCACTAATGGCGGTACCTGGTGAGTGCCAAGACCCATATTCTTCAGGGGGAATCCGCTGATCTGATGTCAAACAAAGCCACCCAGAGCACTTTGAATGCTCAATAACGCCGCGCAATGAGAAAGCAGCAGACTTGCTGCGACAGTCCATCTCTTCTTGAAGAGCTTAGCAACCAACAAAGTGAGGCGGTCTAGCCTCTTGGAGCTGGTGTACTAAGCTTTTAGGCTTCCGGTTGATGAAACCGTGCGCGGCCTGCATCGAGGGGGGACCTGGATGCTCGGGTTACGTTCTCTCACTGAAGAGAAGGTCCCTTGCGACAGCCAAGTCAGCTTCAGGCTCTCGAGGAAGGAACCTGAATCAAAGACGGCTGTTCTACTGGCCGAGACCGAGACATGAGGGAGGATGATTTCGGATGTCCCTTTGACAACCAAGCAATACCAACGTTGCATTTTCAGAGACAATTCCAAGGAAGTGCCGTCCACATCAACATGTAATACGGACGTAGGGATCTCCACCGTTTTTCCTGCTCGACAGTCCTGAAATAATGGAACCGTTGTTGCCACAAGAGCTTGCCGAACTTCGCCGGTTGGCTGTCGACAAATCCTGAGCTGCATTCCCTAGCTGGAGCTGCAGCTATACCAAGCCTGCATCCAGACCAAAGATGGCTTCGAATCGAGGGTCTGGATTTGCATTCGAACTGGACCCGATGGAAAAGCTCCCTGGCTAAAGGAGGGGTTCCCGCTTGGCCATCGACTTGAGATAGCCCACGTTTGGGCCGCCCCATGTCAATCTCTTCTTGCATGACGTTTGTTGTCTCTACCTCTCATGGGTTTTCTCACTTCTTCACTTGTTGCTCTTCTCCTGTGCCCTATGCCCTATGCCCTCGTTTTGAGGCCGTTGGAGAGAGGGAAAATCAACGGGCGTCGTTGAGAGTCATGCGCACAAACGGTCAAAGCCATCCATCTTATTCGTCCAGTGTCAGGTCATCGCATGAGCCATGTCACCCTCCCTTAAGCGTTGTCGCCATCTATGAGTGAGGGAAAAAAAAGTGGCAGCAGACGGGGGAAGGAGAGTGCATGAGCCGTCATGACAGATTTGCGGCCGTAGCAAAGCGTGAGCAGGGAGAGCAAGAGCAGCTGCGCTAGCGGAGTGACTTCCGCGGCATATATCGAAACATAATGGTTGATCGTCAACGCCGGCGACGCCAGAGCCAGAGAATCGTCCTTCCTTCTTGGATTCCGGCGCCCTATCGGTGGTCGCGATGCTAGTTCCGGGGGGTAAGCTGAGCCGCTCGCTCTAAGGACAGGGTTACGACTCGTGGGATGAACTGGCCCAGGAGGGCAGCATCTCGTGCATGGGGTGAGATCTTGGATCGTTGTGTGACGGCTGAGATCTGGGAAATTTGTAACAGCGCCAAAGACGCCGGGTCTTCTAGACCGTCTAGAAGCCGCGATGGAAGGCACACCGCATGGGACCACCACCTCAATGAAAAAAAGTCATGAGCCACGCCATGTGGAACTAGGATCAAGCCCCTTTGGCTCTTCATTGGGGGCTGGAGTTGGGGGCACAACGTTGGCCGCCATCCGCCCTCCCAATTCCATAGAGTAGCAGCCGGTTTTTCGGTTTATTCCCCTAAAAAGGGACCTCTGACTGCGACTTGCATAACAAACTAGAAGCCAAGAACGACGGTAGAGAAGCAGCTAAAGATTCATGACAACGCCGCCCAACTTTGCGCGGTCACATCGCCGATATAGGACTTCTATTTATGAGTCTGTGTGTGAGTCCGTTCGTCTCGTGGGAAACGGCGGAGGTGATTCAGAATTAAGAATCACACCGACGGTCCTTCACCGCAACGTAGGTAACTTCAACCAGCACCACAAAGTTCAGCCCCGGCTCAGCTTGGCCCTTTTTCCCAGGCTTGGGCTGGCTCCCCACGGCCGCCGAAGGAACCCGCAACCCGAGTTATTCTGCCCAGGGCCGGGTGCTGGCCCCGGCGCTTCCCTTTCTTATCAGCTCGACGGACTTCCCGGAGACTCGAGAGTCCATTTTAAAGCAAGAAGCAGCCGCAGCAGCAGCAGCATCCGCCATAGCTTTTTTCTCCGCATGTGGTGCCCTGTAGAAGTGTAGCAGGTAGCTGTAGGTAGTAATGAAGCAATTACCAAGCCGAAAACTTTGACAGCTCCGGACCCTGTCGAGACATGACGCAGATACCCGGCCACGTGCAATTGAGACAAACCGACTCGAGGGCAGCAAAGGAAGGCAACTCGTGACGGGGTGCACCGCAGGAAACGACGACAAAAAAAAAGGGGGCGACGGGAGAATAATTCCAGAAGACTCTCCAGGTTTTGGGATGTCGCGCAACGACAACAGGTTGCGCAAGCCTCAACGGCTAGTGCGCAAGACGGCGCACACACTTTCAGGTAGCGATAGCGGTGGAGGAATGGGCTGAAGAAAGCCCGGCCCGGCAGCTAACGAACGGTAAGAATCAGCCCAAGATTCGACACCGGCCGGCGTTTGCGGACTCTTCGTCGATCGTCGTGCCAGGCGGGTTCCCCCCTCGTCTGCCTAGGGTTCCCAGGGTTGCTTGCCTCCAAAAGCGGCGAACCTTGCATCACTCCAACACATGCTAGAAGCTTACAGGTGAGAAGGGAGGGAGGGGTCGGGAGGAGCTTGGATGTGTTTCTGGTGCAGTGCTACTCAATATTGTGCGTGTGTGTGAAGAAGATTTGTCTCCCCCAAGTAATCCCCCAAAATTCCATCTGATACTCGGTCTTGGCTGCTTACTCTTCTTTCTCTGAAGTGCTTAACTCTCGCTCAATTCGAGCAGGACTTCTGCTTTGTGCCCGTCCGCCGTCTAATACACGCCGTACACTGCTACCCCTCATCAGCAGCAGCTCTGGCCTTTCCCCTCTTATCCCCCCCTATCCTGTTTCGTGCTTGACGAACAAACCCCCCACTTGGGATGCTTGGGATGAGTTGACGAAAAAAAAGTCGTGGATTGTGAAAACTGCAATTGTGGAAATGAGATATAGTGGACGTGGAGTATTGGCATCGGTATATCGCAGGAACGTCAGCAGCCTGCGGCTTCCTTCCCCCCCTCGCCTGTCAATATTTCCACATCCATGCCGCCCCATCCAACCCCCTTGTCCCGGTAGACCTTTCCGTACGCTTAACCTTTGGGGCGAAACGGTGTTCTCGAACCGTGGCTGCGGGGGTTGGGATCGTCATATCAAGGAACGACCTTCGACGTTTTTGTAGGCATAACGATGACTCGAGCCGTTTCGGAAGACGTGAGCTTGCATACGGGCGAGTCGTAATCCCAACGTTAAATATTGTCGTCAATCTGAACGACAATTGCCTCTCTTCGTATTGCACAATCCGTGCTGGTCGACGAGACAGGTTTGTCGACCTGTTCCCCATCGTCCCATCTATCTCGACTGCTCCGCGCATATTCTTGGTTTCATCCAGACGTGGCACTCATCCAACAGCTGTCAGCTCATCACGCTCCCCCCAACCGAGTCCGCCCAGACATCGGATTCCTTTAGATATACTGGGCTGTCCGGGCCGAATCCGCCGGTCGTCGATCGCTTTTCCATTCGCACACACGGAAACTCCCCCCATCGGCCGTGTCTCCAGGTGAACTTCCAGTCGATACCAGCGGAGATTTGTCCAAGCAAACGTTTGGAAGGTACGATCCACCATCGAGGCAGTTGCAGTCGGTCCTGGAGAGGAAGTTTCGACCAGCGGGCCACTTGCCTTTCCAAGTTTGGGGTCTTGGAAGCACGTCACCCTTACATGTTATCTTCCGCCGATCCAGTCTTGCGTATCTGTCCTGAGTTGCCGCCGACTGCTGATTGCCCGACTCCTCCCCCAACTCCGAAAGTGGCGTACTGCAGCGCGTGGTCCAAGACGAGGAACGCAGCCCACACGTCGCCAAATAGCAGTCCCGGAGATTGAATGACAGAAGAGCAACAAAATCGCGCGCAGACAACGGCGATCCGGCACCCCTCATCGTTTGTCTCGGAACATCCGCTGCCATGTCCTCTCGCACATCCTTATCGCAGAAGGAGAAGGCTGAGGCATATGACATGGAGAGCCAGTCTCCGGTTTCCAAGGCCAATGGTGGCATTACCGAGCTGATGGCCGTCCAGGACGGCGAGGTTCATCAGAAGGGCAGCCGCCAAAATCCAAAGTGGTTTCAACGGCTTCTCGACGCCGGTGTGGAGGAGAATGGTATTCGACCAGTACCCATCGAAGAGCGAACCAATGAGAACTACAGCAACCTCTTCACTGTCTTCTTCTCTAGCTTGCTTTGCTTGCTTCCGTGAGTTTCGCACTGTGTCGCCGACTAAATCGGAGGAGAGACTGCTGACAGATGGTCGATAGGATTCCCACCGGAGCGCTGGCCACCGCCCAGCTGGGCCTCAGCCTCAGAGATGCGTCGCTGGTAATCATTTTCTTCGCGGCCTTGACGATCATGCCTCCGGCGTTTATGGGTATCGCAGGCTCCTATACTGGATTGAGACAACTTGTGCAGGCCAGATATTCGTTTGGGTGAGTCGGTATATCCTGTGCACACCTGACACACAACTGATCGTGTGGAATCAAGATATTACCTTGTTGGTGTCCCCCTTCTTCTGAACGCTGCAACGGTGACTGGGTTTTCTCTGTCCTCTGCGATTGCTGGAGGACAAACCCTCGCAGCTGTGAACCCGGGCCACATTGATGTCAAGGTTGGAATCGTCATCACGTGCCTCGTCAGCTTCGCTGCCTCTTTCATCGGATACCGAGCTCTCCACATGTGGGAGAGATGGCAGTGGCTCCCAAGTCTCATAGCCATCGTCATCGCGGTAGGACTGGGAGGGAGGAATCTGTGGAAACAGGCTGAGGTGCCATCTGCGACCGCGTCGCAGATTCTCAACTATGGGGGTCTGATGGCCGGTTACTTCATCACATTCGGTGGGATTGCCTCGGACTTCACGGCATATCATAACCCGAACAAGACAACCAAGTGAGTTCTAAGATCTAAAGGTTAGTCGACGTACTAATAAGATCAAGATTCCGGATATTCTCATACATTTACCTCGGGATCTTTTCTCCCTCGGTACCCCTTCTCATCTTGGGTGCGGCAATTGGTGGTGCGCTCAACAACGTCCCGGAGTGGAAGGCAGGGTGGGATGCCTACGGTATCGGTGGCGTCATGGCTGCAATGCTGGCGCCTGCTGGCGGTTTCGGGAAGTTTCTACTTGTGGTCCTCGCCCTGACTGTCATCGGCAATATCGCGACTTCCATGTACTCAGTTGCGCTATGCATGCAGATGATGCTGCCAGTCTTCACCAAGGTACCACGCGTCGTGTTTATCATTGTCGCCCTGGGTATCATGATACCCATGGCTATTCGCGCTGCTGAAGCATGGGCCGACTCGCTCGAGAACTTTTTGGGATTGATCGGATATTGGGCGGGCTGTTTCGACGCCGTCATAATCGAAGAGTTGGTCATCTTTCGACGCATGAAATACGACTCCTATGACCATGGCGCATGGAATGTCGCTCGCAAGCTGCCTTCTGGGTTTGCTGCGATCGGAGCGAGTCTATTGAGCTTCGGGTTGGTGACACCAGGAATGGACCAAGCGTGGTTCACAGGGCCGATTGCGAAGACGACTGGGGACATTGGGTTCGAAGTCGCGTTGGTGTTGACAGCCATATTTTATGCTCCCCTGAGGTGGCTGGAAATCAAGTTGCAGGGTCGGGTTTGAGTCCGTTGGACATGGTGGTGGAACGGGGGCCCAGGGTAGGATACACCCAGTCAGGCGAGGTATGGCAGACCGACTTTCTTGTTGATGGTTCGAGGAAGCAGTGGCATAATTCGGATTGCAGGACCCTAGCACGATAGAAGAGATTCGACAGTTATCAAAATGATACCATTCCTTGGGCGTTCAGGCGGGGTTTGCTTCGGCGGCCTGCTCCATGGTGACTACCAAGCTCAATTCCCTCCCAAGTCTCAGAAGCTTGCTCATGGCTCAAGGACTGTGCAGGTCGGCCGATCTTTGAGGCTGCCAGACGTTAGCCAAGGCTATGAAACGGGAACAAACAGCTGCCGGGCTTGTTACCTAGGCGTCATGGCTTAGTTGCCCGCACAAGACCATGTCTTCTCCGAATTGATGCCACGCCACGCCGTTGAGTCGAGCGGCGGGTACTGGAGTTCCATCGGGGCGCTGAACTCGGTCGGGGGACACGACGACGCCGCCACGGCCAAGCCATGTAGGTGCCACAGTCACAATGACGGTGTCTACAAGTTGCTGGTAGTCAGGATGGAGAAGGGAATTGATGACTTGTGCCCCGCCCTCGATCATTACGCTGTGCAAGTTCTCGGCATGGAGGGCAGCCAGGATAGATGGCCAGTCGAAACTTGGCTTGGTTTCTCGAGAGCTGAGGAGAATGAATTTTCCGCCATGGGCCTCCAAGATGGCTTGCCTCTCGGGGTTGATACCCGTTTCCCCGACGAGTATGTACGGCGCCAGTCCGTTGCCTGCGCGGGCAACTTCGAACACTTTGCTGTGCTCTGTGAAGTTCCAACGGCCGCGAGGGTCTAGAACAATGGGCCTCGGCTGGGCATCAAGATTTGCACCATCTATACGACAGTTCAAGCCCGGATCGTCGGCGATGACTGTCCCAACACCAACGAGTATAGCGGCATGGTGACGACGCAGATGGTGGGTCATCGCCTTGGACTCAGGACCCGAGAGGCGTGTTCGCACGCCGGGAGCGAGAGAGAGGGAGGAGTCCAGTGAGGTTGCAAAGGTAAGGGTAACAAAAGGGCGGTTCTGAGTTTTGACTGACTGGACAGCAGAACCAGACCCGGAAGGTAGATGCGGCGCGAGCCAGGCAGCGTCGGCGTCGGGAATGTGTAGGGTTTCTGCCATGCCTATTGCTGCGGCCTTTTGGGCCGTCCAAAGAAGTTGAGTGGTGGTCCCAGAAGAAGCCGTTGTACAAATTTGTGCAATTTGGCAGCTCCCTGCGTAGCGCAAGAGTAGAAACTGTGGCAATCCGTGTACTGACCAGGTGCCCCTAGTCGTCTGAAAGTCCAGACTGGCGTCCCTGTTCAGACTGCCAATAGAGACCGCGTCAGCCTACCTATCAGAGGGCAGGTAGACAACACAGCAGATGAATTAACGGTGTTCCGCCTGTCTAGGAGCGGGATGGTCTGCTGTTGCGATGTTGCGACTTGGCAACGGTTTCTTTCCCAAGGAGTTGTGGGCGAATGAGCCGCTGGAGTTAGTGGTCCGGACGAAGTTGAGCAAAGCTCCCGGAAGCCTATAACCCGCGGGTGAATCCTTCCCCTTGAGTATCTATGACTATTCCCAAAGAAGCAACAGGATGGCTTCGGATGACTCGAAGTTTATGTGCCTGCCGGGAAGAGCTCTCGCCAGGTAGGATGGCAGGGCACGAGACAGAGTGCGGAGTTGACGGAGGGCGGATGGTCGGAAGAGGACGAATCTGGCCCGCCCTGAAGGAGGCAGTGTCCAAGGATGCTGCGGTGAGGTTTTTCAGATGACCAGCCAGAAACAAGGCCGGGCGAGATGTCGTAACAGCCGCGGTGATGGATGTGTACCGACAAGCCGGAGGCAGTAGGCGCACCAAACAGGATCAGAGTCAAGATTGAAGTCAGGAGACAGATGTCGACGCCCTGGTGCTGACTACGGTAGGTAGCTTTGGGATCTGCAAATTGTGGACGCGTCCTTTGATGTGATTCGGATGGAGGGAGGGCACGTCCTGTTGGAGAGCGGAGAAGTGTCCGCGGTGATAGACCTGGTTGTAACGACGTTGAACCGGGGCGTGACCGGGACGTGGAATAGTCAAACGAAACGCACGCCAAGTCCAGAGGTACGTGGTCTAATGACTGTCGAATTGGGCTCGGTGTTTGCTTCGACTTCTTCCACCGATTGGTACTCTGTACTCAATCTGCAGTTCAAGTGGCGGCAGAGGCTCGGCGATTGACTCAGAAGGTCCGCAACGTCTTGTGTCAGATGGTGCTTTTTTTTTTCTCTCTACTCCGTCCCCCTTGCTTCCTGACGAGGGTCGTGAAGCAGCGATTGTGTGCGAGATGGAGGAGGATGGATGGAGGGATAGATGGATGGTGTAGGGCAAGGACGAGACGCGGATCCGGACGATCAGAGCAATGCCTAAGGCGACTGCAGGCAAGTGCAAGGCCAAATGCAAGCGCAAGTGCAAGTGCGAGTGCGATGGAGGGTAGTTGCAGTTGCAGATGGTGATGGTGATGGAGATGGGCAGGTACAAGTGCTGGTGCAAGTGGAGGTGCAAGTGCAAGTGAGGGTGAGGGTGCGAGGCAGGAAGCAGTCACGATTGGACGAGAGACCCTTCCCAACTGCCCGTCGCTCTCGCCTCAAAAACCGTTGCTTCCTTCCCATTCCAGTGAGAGCGGCCAGTCTGGTGGAGAGCGGCGGGCGGCGGCCCCGCTGACGATGCAAAGTGGACACTGAGAACTGCCACCGGGTTGGACAATGGCAGCTGAAGGTCGGATATTTGGTGCATTAGAGGACCTTGGAACTGGACATGACTGAGGATGATGTGACTGACTAACTGCTGCTGTGTGTGGTCTGGTCTGGTCTGCGCTGGTCTGCATGGCAGGTTGGGTCAATGTCGATGCGTGCGCCCTTTTGCCTTTTTCTTTTTTCCCCCTTTCGTTTTTTTATTTTTGCCCCTGCTTGTCTTCTCCAATTGTTTCCCCTATTGATCCGTCTTGCTTTGCCTTCCCCTCCCCCGTCCTTTTAGTTGAGAGTCAGTCAGCCGTGGCCATCACTTAAGTTAGTTGTTGCCAACTTACATGGAAGGTCACAGGCTAAAAAAGCACAAGGAAGGCAACGTACCCAGGGCGGGCCTACGTGCTACATATTAGCCGATCGCCAACTGAACGTCGGGTCCATCGTCGTCTAAGTGCTCGCTTAACGGCTGCTTCAGATGCTGGGAATGCAAGAGAAAAAAAGATGTCAAGTGGCATTTGGTGGCATTGCTCGTCCTAATCCGCCATCTCAAGCGCCCTTTTAGACTTTAGCCTCTCACCGACATGAGGTTGACGTCCTGTTTGCCTTTTCCGATGACCTCGTTCATCGCCCTGCCCTGCCCTGGCCTTGGCCTGCCCAGGCTCTTGTCCCCTCCCCTCCCCTGCCCTGGCTTTAACTTTCATGTCGACACCTCACTTACACCACCGCAGCAAGCGTACTTGGGACATACTTTTGCCCGACTACTGTTAGCCTGCTACTGCCTTGGTGCCCCTCATCGACCCCCAACCCCAAGTTGTAGTGGGGTTGTAAGACTTGGTACGTCGCATGCGAGTCTTTGTCGCTCCGGGCAGGCAAATCCGCATACACGGCACCTCTAATTGCACTGACCACCCCCTCTTCACCCGCTGCGGGAGGGAATCCCTTAGGGCGGCCGCGCTCGTGGCCATGGGCCAGGATCTATCTATGCCTTCCAGGTGTGAGCACACTGCTATGCTACGCAGTACTCACGATGCTGGTTCCTGATCTGTGTCTCTTTGCGTCTGACAACAAGCGCGCGTTGGGTTGGTCTGAAAGGTAAGAGACGCCGCCATACTACCTACCTACCTACCTCCACCCCCAATCCCCGAAGGCAGAGAGAGACTTTTCCCATTTTACCTTTTCCTCTCCTGCCTCAAGTACTTGCTGGCTTTGCTAATCGCTTTGCTTTCCATGTCTTATGCCCACCACACCTGCAGCAGCGGAAATCCCATTTCGGGACTATTCCGCCGGTCTCTCGCTGAAACTCCCCGGTCACGCTTTTTGGTCGCTATTACTCTTCATTCGATTCGTCACTTTTACCAAACGAAATACACCCGTGATGGCTGGCGCATGCTCACGATCGATGCCTGGTCTGGCCTTGGCCAGGCGTTGTTACGACACTGGACTGGGCTCTTGGAGGCGGCTGCTGTCACTCTGTGCTCTTGACTGAGGTGCATTTTGCAGCTGGACCCAGCATGTCCTGCGCCCTGGTACTGGGGCGGGCTGGAAGAGCGACTTCATGTGGTTACAACGCGACGTAGTCACCGCAGGACAAGCAAGTTACATGCGCAGGAAACAGAACCCAACTGGGCACCACATTACGCAGACCGAAACCTTATCTCCGACTTCCTCATTGGCGCCTCACTTTCGACTTCCCATAACTTACCTGCGGATATTGCTGTCCTAAAATATCTTGATCTCGTACGAATCCCGCCAACTTCCGCCTCCCTGACTGCTTCTTCCGATTGGCCTTGCCTGTCCCGCGCTTGGTTCCTCCCATCAGCTGGTGTCGCAATTCCGGGTCTCCCTTTCATCGAATTCCCATCCCCCCTGGCCTCCGACAAGTGCCTACAACACCCAGATTCGGGTCATTCAAGCCACTGGCGCACACCACTATCAACGTTTCTTCTCATCTTCTCTCCTCCTGTGTGGGGAGATTCTACCTGGTTGCACTCGCGAGGAAACCTTAAGAAACCTTACTGGGCTACCCGCTCCTTGGCCGCGTCCACATACGCCAATCTCTGTCAAACGGTCTGCCCGCGAGGTCATCCTTACTCGGTTTGAGGCCTTGCCCGCGCACATCCTTACTCGAGAAATCAGGCCATCTGCCCAGCTATTTCCGTGAGCCATGCCTCGTGGTCTATTATCAGTCCAGAGCCCTGGGCAGCTAAACGCCGAGATTGCTTCAAGACTACGCCGTCATTAACCTCTACCGGGCGGGCGCACTTGAGCAAGCCAACGTTTATTGGGAGGCGTCCGTGTCTTCAGTGCAAATGGCTATTTGCGCGCCTGGAAGAAGCAGCTTGACGAGTTTTCATATCGTCAAGCAGCACACTCCGATGGGCGATGCTAGCCGTTAGGTTCAACCCATAAGAGAGGCTAATCAGGATAGATACGATGTCAAATAAGCCCCAAAGGCCGACCTGACAGCGGGATTTGCCAGCGGCGATCTGCAGGGGCCTCTGTCTGCAGTACGCCTGGTGCTAAGGTAGCCAATACCGCTCTGTCGCAGACTGCTCGTGGGGCTGGTGCGACCTAGGGCATCCGAGGCATCCTGAAGTTGACCTGAAGACGCACAGCATCTTGTCCCGAGACATATTCCTCATATCCGATTGCATCTGATCGAACGAATGCTTCGGCCAGCAGCACCCCGAGGGACCAGGCGGTCTCCGTCGTGTCTCATTCCTGAGACTGCCGAAGAAGACCAGTTGCCCAAGCCGCCACTCTGCCTGACCACCGGCACGACGCAAGTCTGTCTGTCTGTCGGCTGGGCACAGGGTTGGGAAAGCCGCAAAACAAAGATCTGACAACCACATACTGCCGAGGACACAAATCTCTGCGCATCTGGAGCTAGCGATTGCCGGCCGCGGGTGATGGCGTCTTTGCGCGCCAGTTGGCCCCCAATCACCGCCTCTTTTTCTCCAGGGATGTGACCACCTGCCACCCGGCCGTTCCTTCGCACTCTGATAACCCCATCCCTTACTGCTGAATCTCGTTGCCATTCTGCGCCTCTTTTTGCCCGCAAATCCACCTGGCGGAGCACACAACGTTGGGGACGAACCCACAACATAACGAGCCTGACTAAGTTGGATACTCAGAAGCAGCATGAGAAGCAGTCTGAGACATACACGCTGGCCTACAGACTCAGGCTGACGAGATCGCCGGGCGAGCTTTCCAAATCCACAACACATCCCGCGTCTTCGAGGCAGAGTGGTGTTCGAAGGCAAACACGGGATCCTGGCTCGGAAAAGGGCCGACGCTTTATGGTGTTCAACTCGAACCCGTAGCAAGCGGTCAGCCCTGGCCAGCTAGCGGTCATCGACGACGCCTGTGCGTGAGATCGGGGCTTGCTTGGTCTGATATTTCCCACTAAGGCCGCCTTTTGGCTGCGCAAAAGGCGAGCGTTGGCCAAAGCTTACATCTGCCCATTCCCAGAGGGCATTGCACTAGTGTTTCGACATTCCGGTGACATCCTGAGATCTGGCCAATACCCGAATGGGTTTGTTCACTTTGAGTTGCAACATATCGCCCATCGCGGTGGGGGGAAGTAGGGGGGGCAGACCAGATGCTCAGGACCCCAGCGCCGCTCCGGCAGGCAACTTGACGATACGTTCCCTTGCCCAGTCTCTCGGATACGTACCGCTGCGCTGTACACCTATTGTCAGGATGTCCAAGATCAGTATCTGCGCAACCGAAGGCTGGTAAATTGACCTGCTCAGTGTCATCGGATGCAAGGGCCTTCTCTCGGTCCAGGTTATTCGTTCTATCTTAGTAGTAACAGACGCCACAGACGGCGTACTAAGGAAGTGGAACTACACACATTTATCACTCTTGATGCCCATCCGCCCACGAAATGGCATCCGTTCTTCACGATCTTATCCCCTTCACCGTAGACTTAAACACCAAAGTCTAGCCATTCCTTTGCTACTTTCCCGCCCTTCTCGCAACTATGGGAGCCATTGTTAAGAACTCCCAGATGTATCCGAAGGTCTCCGACCCACCTTCAACCTTCGGAGCGACCGCCCGACATCCTTTCTCGACGGAACCCACTCCGAAGGATCCGTACACCTATCAGGTTGGATTTGGGAACAGGTTTGCCTCGGAAGCCATGTAAGTTGGGCTCGTGAGAATGTCATTCGGGGGGTTTTGGAGGCTGACGGGAGAAGTCCTGGAACTCTCCCACAATCGTGTAATGCACCGCAAAAAGTCAAGTACAACTTGTATTCCGAGCAGCTGAACGGTTCAACATTTGTTTCGTCCCGAGAAAACCTGCAGCATGCCTGGTTCTATCGTATTTTCCCCTCCGTGGCACATGGGAACCTGACGAAAATGCCGCGCAATCCGGATGTGAGTAATACCTCCAAATTTGCTGGTAGTCCGTTGCCCCCTGACTCTTTTGCCCGTGAAGATCGAGTCAAGATTCACATCTAGCAACGAAAACGTTGATTTCATGCCCGGTGCGCTGTGTTGGAGGGCATTCCCGATTCCTGATGTCGACGGGCCATCTGTGGACTTTGTTCAGGGGCTGAAGACGATAGTCGGGCACGGGGACCCCATGAACAAGGAAGGCCAGGCTGTGCACGTCTACACATCAAACGCCTCGATGGGAAATCGCGCATTTTGCAGCAACGATGGGGATATGCTCATCGTCCCTCAGCTTGGAAGACTTGACATTCAGACGGAATTCGGGAGGTAAACTGCCCCCGGGCCCTGGAAACGTGTGGCTCTCGCTGACTTTTGCACAAGAATGATGGTGCGGCCAGGAGAGTTGGCAGTTGTTCAAACAGGCATTCGCTTCAAGGTTACACTACCAGACGGAACTGCCAGAGGCTGTAAGTATCCCTCAAAGGTGTCAGGTCAAAGATCAACTAAATGTCGTAGACGTCCAGGAGTTGTTCGGAAGCCGTTACGAACTCCCGGAGCTGGGCCCCTTTGGAAGTAACGGCCTGGCCTTGCCACGAGATTTCGAGTTCCCCATCGCCTCTTTCGACATGGACAACTCTGAGTGGGAAAGTACGTCGGAAACCCCCTAAATGCATCGCAGCCTAGGCTGACTAGAACTCAGTCGTGTACAAATTATCTGGAAAGTTGTGGTCTTGCAAACAGAGCCACACACCGTTCGATGTGGTTGCGTGGGACGGCAAGTATGTTGATCGACTTATTACCCCTTTTTTCGTTTTCCTTTTTGGATAGCTCTTAACTCCGGCGGCAGTTACGTTCCGTTCAAATACGCCGCCGAAAAGTTTATTACTGCAGCTTATACAGACAAAGACCAAGCCGACCCCAGCCTTTATACCGTCTTGACGGCCAAGTCCAAGATCCCCGGAGTGTCGGTGACGGACTTCATGTTCTTCTGCCCCAAGTACTCATCAGCAACCAATACCTTCCGGCCTCCGGTATCCTTCCCCCGACCGCTTCTGGGGCCTTCCGACTAACTTGACGCAGTACTACCATCGTAACATGGCCACCGAGGTCGTAGGAATTGTGTATGGCGATTACAAGGGCACGAGTCGCAACCTAGAAGCAGGCGGACTAAGCTTTCAGTCGAGTTACATGCCTCACGGTGGTAGGTCTCGGCGGTCCTCATACATATCGTCACCCACTTACACGAAGAGCAGAAACACACGAGGCCTTTGAGAAAGCTACGACAAGCGAGTTAAAGCCCCTCCGTGTGGGCGAGGGCTTCCTCGGTATGTGCGGCGCCAGTCCGTCTCCGAATTCCATGGCTAACGTGCCAATACAGGATTCATGTTCCAGATCAGCACGCATTGCGCAATAACACAGTTCGCCTTGGAAAGAAGTGGCGTCTTGGAGGGTAAGAAAAATTACCAGCGTGTGCATGTGCCATGTTAAATTGCTGACAATGGACAAACAGTACCTCCAGCGTCCCTGTGGGACTCGATGCAAGGCCACTTTTTCGAACACGTCCAGGAGGTGAACGAGGAGTTGAAGAGACGGGGACTGCCGGTCCTCGGATCAACGACCCAGTGATACGACTTTGCATTCCTCCCATAGCGATTCTCGTTTTCCATTTCTCATCGAGCAGCGTAGCGAAGCGATGCAAGCTTTTCAATGGACGGCATTACAAGCGATTGGGGTAATAGCCCCTTGATTGGGGTCGCACGGTTGTATTCTTCTACATAGGGAAAAAAAGCGGAGGAGACAGTCGAGGCCATCGGGCCAGTGGTAATTGCAGTGAATCATATTTTGAAGATAGATCGTACTGAATTGAACTGTGACCGTGATTTTGCGGGGAATTTCTGGTATTCAGGGGGTTGTGCGGACGCGTTGGCTGAAGCGTGGAGAAGCGCAACTTAGACACGGATATTTCCAGATCAGTCATCCTTATCCGATATGGTGTAGTGGCCAACATGATGCCCTCTCAAGACCTTGAGAGGTTAGGCATAGCCCCGAGTTCGATTCTCGGTTTCGGAACATTTTGATTTTTGATCCTTATCACTTTCTATTTGCCCTTTGTTCATTAGCTCTTTTTTTCTTTCGCATGGCTACGAAATCCGCTTAACAGACTTTCTGGGTGGTTATAATGCGTGTAGCCTGATAAGTGTCCGCCTCCAATCCGTACCCAACTGAACGACCGCGTAATGGCAAATCCCATTGAGTTTTCCATGCTTATCATATCTTGGGACGAGGCCGTACCACATGGCCAAATCCAATCAGGGTCTCAGCCTCGGATCCTGCAGGTGCTGCTTTTATGCAGATCATGGCGCGGGGGCACAGGGATGCAACGCTTTTCAAAGGGACGTTATTCCCTTTGCTTAAGGGTCTGCGGAGAAGGTGCCACAGTGCTGGTGTGCGAGCTGTAAGTGTCTTTTTTTTTTTTTTTTTTTTTTTTGAAGTCTTTGAAGGTGAAAATTTTTTTTGGCCAGACTCCGGTGCAGCAGACCACATATATCAAGAACGAGCTCCTGTTTTTCCGTCGAAGTCGATGGTCGAACGGTTTACTGTTCGTCTACCTTCCTAAGCTATCCGGCCTTCTCGGTGTGGGACTTTCAACACTCCTAAATGCTGGTTTCACTTGGGTCTGATGCATTGAGTCGCTCGTTTTGTTATCACGTCGTAGTGACCACTTGACGATAATATCGACAAAAAAAAAAAGTAGCGGTGTCGACAAGATAACAGTAGGAATAACCAGAGGTGTGTGGTAGCAGCTTATTCGCAGCGGCGGTTGCTGGCCGCGTGGAACATGAGACAGCATCTCACCTGACTGATTTCTGGGTACCTCACTATTCTGGCTGCTAGCCGTTGCATTTGTTGGCCGACGATTCACTGACAGCCCAGCCAAGTTGGAGCACTGCCACATTCACCACAAGCAAACGCATTGATGGGCCGAACAAGTACCGCCGTATCCGTAGACGGGCTCAATGAGACGGCCGTCCAGCTCTTGAACGGAGCCGGAGGTGGGGCCTACATCATTGCCGTCACAGCCGCTTCTTCCGTCTCTCTTCGCCTTCTAACCGGCATATTGTGCGTCAGCTCTGGTCTGAAAACCGGTGCCTGTTCCAACATGTCCTGGGGACGTCGGGTGCGAAGCGGGAAACACGGAGGAACAGGGTTGGCAGGGGGTTGAGAAGCACCAACTGGGGGAACGAGAGACGTACCCGCTTTTACGCGAATGCTGCGATACATCAGCTGGGGTGGCTTGCGGTGCAGGCGAATGGGGGAAGCCTTGATACAAAAATGTCATTGGGGCTGGTCGTTGGTTTCCGGAACCCGAAGCACCATGTGAGACAGGGACAGTTTGGGGGCTGGATTGTTTTGTTTTGTTCATTAGTTTTACTGGATGATTGAATCAGCCTCCTCCGTACGAGTATTAAATGCAATTCACAGAGAACTCTGGGAACAGAATAAACGCATCGTGGCTCGGGGGAAGGCAGAATGAGTTCAATAATAAGTAGGTCCTCACAAATAGTCATTAACGAATACGGCCTCAACAAGACACTACAGCTCTACCAAGACCAGCGGCGTGCCGCCCAGAGACTTGGTCGAATAAGCCATTTCAGGCTAGAGTCACGAGCACAGCGAAATTTAGGCTTTGGGGCCACCTTTTCTGCCCACCTCACCTCCCCTCCCCAGCTGCAGGTGTTCCACGCCCAGTGTTTGCGGCTGCCACGGTGCAACCTCGCCCGCCCTGGGCTCCCTCCCTCAGCAAGCAGCAGGGGAAGCTCGCAAGTCGCAGATGTTCTGCCGCGCACGCGCACGCGGCTTGGCTCTTTCCCATCCAATCCATCCGCCCGTTCCATCCCATCCCACCCAAAGGCAGGCCACCCTCCTTCACATATCTTCTTCCCCCAACATCGCCACGTTCTCCCGGGTGGCACGCCTTTTTCTATCCACTCATTATCCATCAGTACCTGTCCACTTCCTTCACACACAACTTTGTCCAACCATCCATCCTTCATCCACACGACTGCCTACCTTGACAGCCTTCGACCGAGGCCCTATCGCATTCATTCTTTCGCTTCGGATCACGCGAGCCCCCAGCTTCGCTGAACCTCATCAACGACCGTTCGACTACGACCGTCGACCTACCTAATTTAATCACTCCATTCGGGATCCTCCAAACCGCTCCCACCACATTACCATAATGGCCGACCACGATAAGCCCCCCGCGTATGGCGGCCCCCCTCCTCCCCAACATCCTCAACAAGCCTACCAAGGCTACGGCTCTCCTCCGCCCCAGGGCCCCGGAGGATACGGCACTCCCCCGCCCGGCCAGCAGCCCTACTACTCTCCCGGCCCCGAGATGGGCTACCCGCAAGGCCCCTACCCGCCTCCCGGCCAGTACCCCCCGGGACAATATCCTCCAGGACAATACCCCCCGGGCCCTTACGGCCCTCAAGCGCAGTACGGTCCCCCGGGCGGCCCTGGATACCCGCCGCAGGGCGGCTACTACCAAGACAACCGAGGCGGCGGCGGCGGTAGCGGCATCATGGCTGGTCTGCTGGGTGCGCTTGCCTGTTGTTGCTGTCTCGACTGCTTGTTCTAAACGCGCGCTGTGCCATTCGCGATTGCGACCGACCGACTTGTTATCGATACCCAACAGATGCGATCAGACTTGAGAGGAAGGGACAGACTTGCTGCGAGCTGAGCCAAGGGCATGGCATTGAGTTCTGGCAAAAGACAGCAGACCGGTTCACGGGGTTAGGGACAAGAGGGCAAAGTGTGATCAGCATTGGTTTGCATTAGGACATGCATTTCGTCGCACGGCGTCAACGGTGAAAGGGATATTACACGCACACGAAAACCGCAGTTATGGAGAGCCGGGTGGGAAGCGCTTCCAGAGAGAAATGGCCTCGATTTCCTGGGTTCTCCGTTGCGGGGGGTTTTTTTTTTTCCTCTTAGTATTGCTATCAGTTAGGAGGGGTTTGGGATCCCGTTGTACGTAAGTCGCGTCGTCTTGAAGACGTCGTTACGACAGTCAGCCGAAACCTTCCGGTATAATTTCATCACGTCGTGACTTTACTCAAAATGCCCCTCCAGGTCGTGAACAGAGTTTTGAACAGAAGGCGAGCTTGGTGCGGGGTTGAGTCGTTCTCTGGTTTCCGAGCTGTAATTCGGGTGGCTTGGTCTAGGTGTGACGGAGTCATTCCTGGCACACGCCACCGCAGCTGGTTCGGAGCTCACGGATGAAAGCCACAAGAACACCTCCCAAAATTTTAGGCACGGATGACGGGGCGTCTTGTACAGGCAAGCATTGTGTGTGTTTATGCAACATTGAAATTGGGAGGGGGGTAACTTTCTACTACTCTACGCTCTTGTACAGCTCATCAAAGTCACGCTGGATGTTGGCCACGCAGTCGTTGGAGTAAATCATCTTCTGCACCTCGGGGGAGGCCCACTTATCCGGCACGGTGCCGCCCTTCTTCTCCTTGAACATGCGGTCACGCTCCTCCTTGGCCTTACCCTCGCCGAGATGCAGCTGCTTGCCGGAGAGGAAGGCCATGTTGACCAGCTGCGAGCACCAGTCCCGGCGGGAGAGTTCGTAGGCCTTGAGGCACTTTCGGAGAGTCGCGGGCGAGGTGTCCGGGGCGCGGGCGAGGACCTCGGCGACGACGGAGCCGTCCTCGATGGCCATTGCGGCGCCCTGGCTGAGGTGGGGGAGCGTCGGGTGGCAGGCGTCGCCGAGGAGGGCGACGGGCCCGGCGGAGTGGACCCACGAGGGCAGGGGCTTGTGCATGCGCAGACGCCATTCGCAAACCTGGCCGTCCGGGACGAGGTTGAGCATGCGGTGGACCAAGGGGCAGAAGTCGTGGAAGACGTTGAGCATGGCCGTCTTGGAGCCCTTTGTTGTGTAGGTTGCGTTGGTCGAGGCGGCGAAGTTGGAGTCGGGCTGGGTGGTGGAGAGGTTGTAGATGGTGTGGGAGGAGACGGGGTAGGCGATGATGTGGCGCTTCTCACCGATCCAGCGCACGACGTCGTCCGAGTCGAGGAGGGCGAGGAGTTCGGGGTCGTCGGCCATCTGCTCGCGGGTGAGCATGATGCGGTAGGCGGCCTGGCCCGTGTCCTCCTCCTCGCCCTTCTCGCCGATGGACTCGAGGAGTTCGGTGCGGACGATGCTCTTGATGCCGTCGCAGGCGAGGAGCACGTCGGCTTCTACCGAGTACGCTTCGCCGTCGCGCGGTTGCACTGTGAACTTTGGCTTCGGGTCGAACGAGTCGACAGACACGAGTGAGGTCGCAAAGTGGAACGTGATTGCGGACTCCTTCTTGCACGCATCGTACATGCGACCAGCCAGGGACGAACGGTGTCCGTTGCAGTGCGGGTAGCCATAGAGCTCGCGGATGTTGGGCATGTCGACGTGAGCGAGCTCGACGTTGGTTGATCCCTCTGTTTTCCTGTGTTAGCCGAGTCGCGTGACTACTACTTGGACAAGTGGTTCATTACGTCTGATGCTTGAGCCCTTTACGTCTGTGGCCTCCTTCTCGATCTCGGGCCAGCAGCCTAGGCGGTCAAGGGTTCGAACGACGTTCGGGGGCATTTGGATACCGGCGCCGACGAAACCAAGGGTTGATGCTGTCTCGTAGACATCAACATGCTTGAATCCCTTTTTGGCGAGCGCGAGAGCAGCGCCCAAACCGCCCATGCCTGCGTTGAGCGCGTGTTAGTCGCGAGGTTGACATGAGGTATTGCGGGAGGAAACATGCATACCAGAGCCGATGACGGCGATCTTCAAATCTTTCGGGTCTGCCATTGTGTCTGCAATAGTGTCGGAGTGTGGCTCTGAAGAACAGGCGAAGAAGGGAAGCTCAGTGCGACTGCGCAGGTAAATATGATTATCGAGACAACGGCGTCCGGATTTTCCGCAACAGCTATCCTTGAGGCAGTTTATGAAGTCCGCCGGTCCTGGAGCCTCACATGGGGAATGTGGGGGATCTGAGCAAGCTCGGGGTCCATAATCGGCTGGAGAAGCGGGGAAGCTCGCGACAATGAGGGGATGTTCGATGTCTTCTCTGCCTTTTTGAAATTTGGTAACGGGCCCGGGATCGAGAGACGGGAATGCGGCAGACGCTGGTTGGGTGGGATTGGCCGATTAACCAACTGCCGGTGCGCCGAAGGTGTAGTGGGGGTAATGCGAACTTTCTGGATATTGCCGAACCCCAAATCGGGCGGTCAGCGTTGAACGTTTAACCAGCTGAAGAAGTTCATCATGTGCGACGATGGTGTTGGCAGTGGACCGGCTGGAGTCAGCCTCCGGAGTCGAAAGCCGGCATGCACAGCGTTGTTGCTGATGAATAACGTCTAAGGGTTGTGCATCTGGTTATGCAGGTTGGCTAGCGCCGTGGTTGACAGCGGCGGTTGTGTCCGTGTTGGCGGTTGACAGCGGGATCGTGGTCTGTTGGGGAGCGGGGGCGCGCCTTCCAGGTTTGGGGAAAATGCCCGCGTTCGGCGACAGAACGGAGGGAGGGCCGAAGTGTTGTCGTCATTCGCGAGAAAACGGCACGGTGCCCCGATCCCGGGACTCTTTCGATTTGCCTTGCTCCAGCGCCGATGTGGAGCGCGATGATGGCTCCCCTAACTCCCCTGCGCTTGTGCCTGACCGCGCATGTCGGGTAGGACCCTCGGGCAGCTGGAAGGCTGAAGGGAAGAAGGGCCGGGACTGGTCGACGGCTGATGGATGATGGGCGGAGGGTAGTATGCAGGAAAGCTAGATAAGTAGCCACCGTCGTAAATATCAGGCTTGGGGTGGTCAGTGTCAATTCCCAGCTCCCTCATTGGGACATCTCATGTGACTGGTGTTGTCGGGGTACTATGTATTCTGCCAAGGAACGAGTTCTTACGGGCCAATACGCGTAAGAACTTGTCGAAGTCAGACCTTCACGATGCCGTCTTCAAGGTGTTGGTGACGCAACGCCTGCCCACCCGCCGATATGTGGCTCAGCCCATGAATTCCCATGCTCGGTCTAAGGCGCAGTGTCATCTCGGCGAAAGCTTCGCTGTCCGAAGACGCCAAGGCAATCAAGCAGTGCACAACCCGCCTCCTGCGGAATCCAACGGTCGGTTGGTGAGAGATCGCAACCTCGTCTGTCGTCTGGTGCTCCAGTTTGTCGGCGAGTCACTCCCGGCTTGTCGCACAGCCACGCATGTTCGCCTCCTAGCCACGACCAAGGCATTGTTGTCCAGTAAGCATGTCTGGGTGGGGAGAGTTCGTTGACGCTTCGCCTTAAGCGTACAAGGTGCTCCTGGTTCCATCGAAGCTTGCGACCAGCATTGAGACGCCAGACGCCACCGCCAATGGAACTGGTGCTACCGAGTAACCGTAGCGTACCGGGTTCCTGTGTGAACTGGTATTTGGAAGATCGTACATAGTAAGTCAAGCCAAGAACAACACACAAACAAACCGACGACAATGACCTTCAGCCGATCCGTCTCATAGATCTGAGCGTTTCATTCGATCTACGAGCACAAACAAAGCCAGGGTCTCTTTCTGGGGTGCCAGAGTCTTGGATCAAGGAAACAAGCTGGTTCGGTCAATTGGATTATTGTGGTTAGATAGGATGAAGCGCGCGCTGATCTATTTCTGCATCTGCGGCGGGAGGGTGGGTTGTGAGAGCGGTGGTGCACAGTCTACGCAGTACAGTCTACAGAGGCACAGAGGAGAGGCCGCGCGCACCAGAGACGGCGGGAGCGACAGAGAGACAGCTGTTCAGTGGGTTGCAGCAGCCCAGCCCAGTCGATGGAGAAATCCAGTCCGTGGCAATGATCCCCTCAACCCCTGCCCAGCCAGAGCGTGGGAGACGACAAATGATTGGGCCAGAGGTCACCGTAGCAGTGCCAGAGAGATGGCGAACCGTGGCGGGACCCCACTATTGTCCCGCTGAGTTGCAGGGGTCTGTTTCGTTTGACGCGACGGGACAATGAAGCCGCTGATGTCACCAACTGCAAGGCCTCACAAGCGACGCATTTTTATCCCTACCACCACGGTCGATTGCCTCTGTGCCTCTGCAGCAACTGAAGCAGCTGCAGCCACCCCTGTCGCGGCCCCGTCCAGGTTTTGTCCCTGCACCCACCCAGCCAATCAACGACCCGCAACTGTTCTGCTCAAACCATTTGGCGACCTTCTTGGCGCCTCCCTCTTCACTGTCGTCTGTGCCTCTAGTTCCTGTCCATCTTTATTTCTTCTGTTCGACGCAAAAGACAGACTGGGGGCAGCGACAAAAAGAGGACACCCCTCTGGCTTCAAGAACCTCAACGTTGCCTTTGCCGACGGTCTCGCCGACACGACCCCTACTTAGACCTCTCTCAACTACTGCCATCTTCGACGACAACGCAATGTTCTCCCGATTGTCCTTGTGACCGGCACTTTATCTCGACCTCACCTCGAACCCTCCACTCGCCGCCGACCACGACGACCTTTAACCCCTTTACACCGCCCTACTCGACGTCCCTAAATCCTGCCCACGAACCTCACAAAACCCAAGCACCGCATTTATTATACGCATACCGAAACATACTCTTGGCTGCGAAGATAATCCAAAATGTCGGCTACCCCGACAACGGCGTCGGAGACGACGTCTCTCGCGTCGTCTCTGGCGTCTTCAGTGGCCTCGTCGCTGTCTACCGCCCTTTCTGCCACGATATCGGCGACGTTGAGTAGCAATGGTACAATCACCACCTCATCGGCATCGTCAACAACAGCAACAATATCTACTTCTGCAACTGCCAATCCTATCGGTGCCGCGCAAAGGTCCCAGGGCATGACCCTTCTCGGTTTCCTCACTGCCTTGGCCACCGGTTTGACGGTCTTTGGAATTCAGGTCCTCGCCTTCCTTCTTCTACGAAATAAGTTGGCACGTATTTTGTGAGTACTCCTCTGTCGTCCTTTGGACAAGCAGTCACTGACTTCTCACAGCAAACCAAAGACATACTTAGTCCCCGAGCGAGAGAGAACAGATTCTCCGCCGGCTGCGCCATGGAATCTGATCAGCACTTTGTTAAAATTTAGTGACCGTGAAGTCATCAAGAAGTGTGGTCTTGATGCCTACTTCTTCCTGCGATATCTCAGGGCTCTTCTGACAATCTTCATTCCGATTGCTTGTGTGGCGATTCCCATTCTGATTCCGCTCAACTACAGCGATGGCAGGGGTCATGATTTTCTGAATGACGTGGAATCGAACTCAACAAACAGCACCAACAGTACTTCGTCTACCTCGCGGCTGCTGGTTAGAAGCCTGCAGCTTTACATTCGAGCCGAATCGGACAGCAATTCTACGGAAGACAGCATACCGACAGGACTGGATACGCTAGCCTGGGGAAATGTTGGACGAAATCATACAAATCGTTACTGGGCTCACTTGGTCATTGCGATACTGGTCATTGTCTGGGCGTGCACCGTTTTCTTCTTTGAGCTACGAGTATACGTCAAGGTCCGCCAGGATTATCTTACCAGTGCCGAACACCGACTTCGCGCATCAGCTACAACCATTCTTGTTAGCGGTATACCTTCCAAATGGCTCACCGAGGAAGCATTACTCGGCCTCTTCGACGTCTTCCCTGGCCAGATCCGCAATATCTGGTTGAATCGGAACCTCAACCGCCTGCTCGAGAAAATCCAGCTTCGTGAGAAAATTCACCTGAAACTCGAAGACGCTGAAACCGAGCTCATTAAAGCTGCAAAGAAGAAGCAGCTGAAACGACGCAAGAAGGAGGAGAAAGCTGCTAGAAAACAGTCAAAGTCTAAGGGACCGACCAAGCAGGAGGAACTCCTTAGGAGGCAACGGGAGGACGAGGAAGCCCGGAAGATGGCCGAGGGCAATAACGGAATCAGCTCTGGCGAGCACGAGGAAGTCCCTCATGATATTGGCGCCGTCATGGACGAGGAAGACTCCAAGTCGAGACGCTCCAGGCGATCAAGCTCGTCGTCGTCAAGCTCTTCTGAAGACGGTGATCGTCCCCAATCCAAGGGCTTTGGGCTCAGCGTCATTGGAGATGGATTCACCAAAGTCGGAAAGGGGCTGCTCGGGGGTGTTACCAAGGCGCAAAAAGAAATCAAGGAGTTTGGTCAGGACGTCGAAGATACTGTCGAGACGACCAATGGATTTGCGATGCTACAGCCCAACGACCGCCCCCGCAAGGTTCAGATCTTGGCTGAAGGAGAACGACCTGGGACAGCCAAGAGCGTCCGCAGCAACGGAGAGCAGCTGAAGCCGACCCCGACCGCCGACACCCACAAGACTCACTCCCGTCATGCATCCGCTGCTACTCAAGATACGTCAGGCCCCAAGAACAGCTACGAGCCGTTGGGCAATGGCAACACCGTGCGGAAAGTAAGCAACTTGGACCATATGTACGATCAGGAAACTCGGAAATTCTGGCAGTTTTGGAAAGCCCCGGCCGGTGGCTACGCATCGCCCATTCCCCAAGGATATAACTCCGGTGAATTCCCTTTCAACCAGCCAAAGGACAAGACGTTTTGGCAGGTGATCAAGTCCTTCATTCCATTCATGGGCGACGACGGCGAGGATCCTATAGAGTACCCTCCGTGGAGTGAAATTGGCGACGACTACACGAAGATCCTGGACGACGAGGCAGAGTGGCGCAAATGGCTGAGGGATAAGGATCGCCCAACCCATCGCTTGCCGCGCTGGGGCTTCCCTGACTGGCTCGCTTGGCTCACGTTTGGACGCAAGGTTGATACCATTTATTGGTGTCGCCAAGAGCTCGCCCGGTTGAACGTCGAGATTGACGATGACCAAGCCCATCCCGAGCGCTATCCTCTGATGAATTCTGCTTTCATCCAGTTCAACCACCAGGTCTCGGCTCATATGGCTTGCCAAAGCTTGATGCATCACGTTCCTAAACACATGTCTCCAAGGATCAACGAAATCTCGCCTAAAGATGTCATTTGGGACAACATGGCCATGGAATGGTGGGAGGAGTCTCTCCGATCAGGCGTTGTCACAATCATCGTCACGGTGATGGCCTTCTTCTGGGCCATTCCTATCGCCTTCTCGGCTACGCTTGCGAACGTCGACTCCCTCATCGAGAAATTTCCTTGGCTTAGCTGGATCAAAGACAGCCCGAGCATCAAGAAACTCGCTGGTGCTATTGCCGGTGTCTTGCCCGCGATTCTGCTCGCCCTCCTGCTTGTCATTGTTCCGCTCATTTTGGAACAGCTTGCAATGGTCCGGGGCGTCAAGACCGGTACTCAAAGAGCCGAGTTTGTTCAACGATTCTACTTCGTCTTCTTGTTCATTCAAGTCTTCCTTGTCGTTTCGATCACATCCTTCTTCGTTGCGTCAGCAGATGAGTTTCTCCAGAAATTTGAGCAGTTGCAAAGCGTGACTTTCATTCTCGACACGCTGGCCACGAACCTGCCGAAAGCCGCCAATTATTTCTTCTCCTACATGATGCTGCAGGCGTTGTCTGTGAGCTCCGGTACGCTGCTTCAGATTGGCGCCCTCATCACATGGTATCTCTTGGCTCGTATTCTCGACTCTACAGCTCGAGCCAAGTGGAAGAGAAATACCACACTCTCGACCATTTCTTGGGGACAATTCTTCCCTGTGTACACCAACTTTGCATGCATCGGTCTCATTTACAGCGTTGTTGCACCGCTGATCTCGCTGTTCGCTGTTCTCACGTTTAGTTTGCTGTGGTTCGCTCAGCGTTACAGCATGCTTTACGTCACGCGCTTCGAGACCGATACAGGTGGTGTTTTGTATCCTCGTGCCATCAACCAGACTTTCACGGGATTGTACGTGATGGAGGCTTGTTTGGCGGGCTTATTCTTCATAGTGGTTGACCAGCACGGTAACAACGTTGCAACCGCTCAGGGTGTCATCATGTTGGTCGTACTGGGCTTCACGATGCTATACCAGATATCGCTCAACTCTGCATTCTCGCCGCTTTTCCGATTCTTGCCCATCACAGTGGAGGACGAGGCCGTTATCAGAGACGAGGCGTTCCAGCGCGCTCAAAACCGACGCCTCGGGCTCATCGACGATGACGAGGATGACGAAAAGACGCCAATGCGGAATGGAGGTGGCGCAAGTTCGGATCCTCGCGGCATCGAACTCCAAAAGCTTAACGACGGTGGCCCGCAACGCAAGAACTCGACTATGCGTCGTGTGAAGAACGTGGGCCACTGGGCGAAGGAAGGAGGCAAACATCTCCGCTCTAAGACGTGGAATATGGGCCCAGCTTCCGTCAAGACTGCCGCTGAATACCGACGTCACCAACGCGACAAAGATCTCGAGGCTCAACGGGCACTCGGAGAAGCGCTTTATGGCGGGTTCCACGACGAAATCGAAGACTTGACGCCCGAGGAGCGTGATGTACTCGTTAGAAACGCGTTTCAGCACTACGCTCTTCGGGCGCGAGCGCCAGCGGTATGGATCCCCCGTGACGACATCGGGATCAGTGACGACGAGATCAAGAGGACGAAGGAGTTTAGCGAGCATATCTGGATCAGTAACGAGGGCACAGCGCTTGACAGCAAGGTCCGCGTGGTGTACGGGGCGAACCCTCCAGACTTTTCAGAGGTCGACATCATCAACCTCTAATGAGGCCTCGTGTTTTTGTATAATGAACATATGCATATACCCAGCGGGCGTTAGGGGGAAGGGAACTTAGCATTAGAAGAGAAAAGCAACTAGCAAGAGTTATACTTGAAATACAGCCAGTTCAATTCGTATCTCGTCAATCGCTCTCAATGAACACATGCCAAACAACTCCAACTGACATGGTCGTTAACTTGTGAATGAAAGCCGAAGGTTTGGCCCAAGGTCTGTCAGCTTATAAATCATTGAGACCAATGACGTGAGAGACTTGACGAAGATTTGGAGACGGACCTTCATCCGACGCGCGAGCGCCAACCCCCGCACGAGTGTGCCATTCCAACCTCGACTGCATCAGCCCTTTCCCTTTCCCCCCTAAACATTTCAGGTTCAGTGAGCACCTTTCGGTTATAACCACAACGAACAAGCACCGTATCGCTCCACGTCACAATATGACAAAGTCAGGCAAAGCCAAGGCCGTCGTGAACGGAACCACCGTCGCGGAGACGACGGAGTGGGAGGAGGTGGAGGGGAACGTGTACTTCCCGCCCTCGGCGATCAAGTCGGACATCCTGGAGAAGACCTCGCACACGACGTTTTGCCCGTGGAAGGGGACTGCGGAGTACTACTCGCTCAAAGTCGGAGGTGAGTACCTATGGGCGCGGACGTTGTCTGGCTTGATTGGTTGCTGATAGTTTTCATCAGGTGACAAGCTCGAGAATGCGGCGTGGTACTATCCCACGCCCAAGGACGCGGCGAGCGAGATCAAGGACCATGTTGCCTTTTGTGAGTATCGAGGGTTGCGGTCCGTGATGGAGAGTCTGATGCTAATGAACGTGTAGACAAGAGCAAGGTTACGGTCTCTGTTGAGTAGGGGGCAAGAAGCAGTCTCGAGCTTAGGAGTTGAAATTTGGCGCACTCGTCAGGTGCCATGTCAAAGTGTATGAGTACTGCAACTTTGAGATATCACGAAATTCATCACCTGCAAACTCCGAGTGTTGCATTCAAGAACTTTTCTAGATCATCCAGTAGACCAGGGTATTCCTCTACATAAGTCATGACGCAAGGAAACTCATACTGGCCGTCTAGACCTCCACAATTTCGTTATCGTCGTCTTCAATCTCCTCTACCTTGGAGCCGTTCGTCAACTGCTTCTGCTCTCCCTCACCTTCTTCAGGCGCTTCGTCGCTCATGATGACCTGCACCAGACGGTCGCAAGTGTCCTTGACGCCCTCGTCTTCCACACGCAGATGCGTTTCTCGGATGATGGGGTACACTTTCACCCTCCTCATCAGGTCGCGAGCTTCGCGCGTGGTGGTGAGAAGCAACAGGGTCTCGATGTGTGTCTGGATGATTCTCGGGTCTGAGTCGCGCTTCTTGTCGGGGGGAAGAAGTTGCAGATCGGGCAACATGCCCATCGTGTCTTCATCGTCGTACTCTTCATTACCGGTAATGGGGAGCAGGATGTAAGGCAAGATATCGACCTCATCCTCATCAAGGAAGGTGGGGTGGAACTGGATCTCGAAGGCGACGTTCTTGATGGTACTTGCCACGCCCTTGCGGCGGATCTCAGAGGCATGCTCTGTGAAGACCTTGAGCTTGGTGATGGGGATGACCTCGTCATAGTCCTGACGGGTAACGAAGTGCTGGCGGACTTCGGCATGCTTAGTGAGGTCGGCGAAGAGGTAAGCGAGGTAGTCGTAGTCCGCGTCCTTGTTGTAGCCCTTCTCCTTGACGAAAAGATCAATGAGCTGGTTGAGTACGAGTTGGTTGGACTTGAGCTCCTCGGGTGGCGTCTGCTTTCTGGTGACGATGGTCTTGAGACCGTCATACTTTGCTAGGTTGGCCAAGAGCATGGCCATCAGGTTGGCGTTTGGCTCGTTGGGCTTCACTATCAGATCCGCAACTTCTCCGATGAACTTGTCGTCTTTGGCAACATTTTCCAAGACATCCTTCTCTGCCGTCAAGTTGACGAGAATGGTGAGGACATGTTCTGCGATTTTCTGAAAATGAATGAGTGTCCGTACACAGCCGACATAGGAAGGCCAGTGTCTAGCTTACAGGGTGGTCTTTGACTAGGAACTTGAGGTGCTTGATTGGCGTCAAGCTCTCAGTCTTGAAAATGGCCGGTTGCGCTTGCGAGTAACCGACAAGATTCTCAACGGCCAATTTCCTAATTTGCGGGTTGGGATGGGCGATGAAGCCCACGAGCTGTTGCGAATAAGCTGAGTCCTTCAGGCCCGAGGATTGGTCTCATACCTCCTCTAGTTCTGTCGGCATTTTGGAGAATTTTGTGGTGTAGCTTTCTGCGTAATGGAGGAGGTTTCTCACAGGAATACCAACTTTTAAATGCTGTTCCAAGGAAATTGTCTCGCCTTCGTTGTAAGACAGACCGGGAGAGTCACTCGCAGAAGCTTTTTGGTGGGGTGTTGTGGCGGGGCACTCGTTATGGCTCGCCGATGAAGTCAAAGCCCAGAGGATTGATTGGTCTAAAGACCGCCTTGACCCACTGTAAGCCGGTCCAGGGTTCTGGGCTAATCAGGCGCGGGGCAATCGATAAGAAAATCAAAAATTTCCAGGCTCACAAGAAAAAAAAAAAAGAGGCACCGCCAATCCCGCCCCGTCGCTCTCCGCCACGACTGTTCGAGTCCAAATCTGATCAAAATGGGCAAGGCGACGACCCCGACCGACCGCCAATCGCGCAGGCACAACCCTCTGCAGGACGATATCCTGGCCACAGGTCCTTTGAAGAGCAAGGTTTCCAAGAAGAAGAAGGGCAAGGATGGCGACGAGGGCAATGGCGACCACTTCGTCGATGCGACCCGCAGTCGCACCATTCTGAGGCTGGGCCGAGAGCTTGCGGACGAAGATGCGCCTGCGAAGCCCGAAGCCTCTGCGAAACCGGGTGTCGATCTCTTCGGCATTGAGTCAAGATATGGGGTCGATGTTGGTGGCGACGAGCAGACATACGAGGAGGAGGAGGCCTGGGGCGAGGAGGACGAGGTCGTGGAGGAGATTGAGATTGATCCGGAGGACCTTGAGACCTACCGCAAATTCCTGCCCGAGGCCGAGGAGGATCCTGCGGACATGCTGAACGATGCCGGTTGGGGAAGCAAGGGCGGTGACGAGGATATGGCTGGTGGCGGCACCAACCTTACCGAGCTCATCCTCGAGAAGATTGCGGCGCATGAGGCTGCCGAAGCCAGGAAAGCAGCGGGCGTGCCCGTGGATGACGTCGACTACCAGCTTCCTCCTAAGGTCATCGATGTTTATACGAAGTGAGTGTTTCGACTTCCCAGCCCCGGAGCTCGTCGCTAACAGGGCCTAGGATCGGCCAGATTCTGTCGCGATACAAGAGTGGCCCCTTGCCGAAGCCTTTCAAGATCCTGCCGACCCTGCCGCACTGGGAGGACATCGTTGAGGTCACTGAACCCCAGAAATGGACGCCGAACGCTGTGTACCAGGCGACGAGGATATTCTCTGCTTCCAAGCCGGCAGTGTGTCAGAAGTTCATGGAGATTGTTGTTCTCGACAAGGTCCGTGAGGACATTTACGAGAACAAGAAGCTAAATGTACACTTGTTCAACGCTCTGAAGAAGAGTTTGTACAAGCCTAGGGCGTTCTTTCTGGGTTTCTTGTTCCCGCTCCTGTCTAGCGGCTGCACCATTCGCGAGGCCCATATTGTTTCTGCTGTGCTCGCCCGAGTTTCGGTGCCGGTGCTCCACTCTGCAGCTGCTTTGAAGGGAATCACTGAAATGTGTGTTAAATTCTCTGCGAGAACCGTTCGAAACTGTACTGACATGGTCTTAGTGCCGCTCAAGAAGCCTCCGCTGGAACCGAGGGTGGTGGATCTGCCAACATCTTCATCAAGACTCTGCTGGAGAAGAAGTACGCCCTGCCGTACCAGGTTATTGATTCGCTCGTTTTTCACTTCATGAGATTCAGGAGTGTTGATCCTGCCTCCATCAAGGAGGGCCAGTCCTTCTCTGGAGATATGGTTAGGTCACTTCCTGTGGTTTTCCATCAGAGTTTGCTGGCATTTGCCCAGAGATACAAGAACGACCTGAGCGAGGATCAACGTGAGGCGCTTCTCGATTTGTTGTTGTCGCACGGCCACGCCGCTATTGCCCCGGAGATCAGGAGAGAATTGCTTGCCGGCAGAGGAAAGGGTGTAGCGATTGAGCAGAACGCTCCTTTTGACGGCGACGACACGATGCTTGTGGATTAACGAACTAAAAAATGGGAATGGGAGTTGGAGCTTGGCCAGCCCCAGGGCATTATAAGGCGTTAGCAGGTTGATTTGATACCCGCAATCCTAATCGAACGGATTATGAGAAGCTGCGTTGTTTCAAGTGTGTATGACTTTCACGTGTGCTCTTTACAGGCAATTACTGGAGGAGTGTGTTGGCTGCTTCCCAGTACAGCTCAGCAAGGGCGCAGCAGGTGCGAACCATACTGGCCCTGCTCAACAGGTGCCTTCATCCACAGTCACCTGCATGATATGAAGAGCTTTTCAGTCTCCTGTTCGGTCCTGAAGGCATTCTCTACCATCTCTGCCACCTATGTATTCTTTTCGTCTCCAGACCGCGCGCGCCGACGTATCTGTAGCTTCTGCAGTATCCTTCCGCCTCGTCCGTCTTCTTCCTATCAGCCCAGCATCCATCCCTTGACCCTATATCATGTTCGGTGCTTGGGAATATGATAGCGTTTACGGAACGATGGCACGTCGAGGCTCAGGTTCCGACCCTCCTCTAGGCGCCGAGCCTTCTTCAATGTCCCTAACATCCTGCAGGCGAACGTGAGTAGACGCAAAAGCAATTGCAACCATTCATAGCTAACCAATTCTACAGTTCTTCGTCCCAAACGTTCCCTGAAACCCAGAGAGAGACCCAACGACTATCATTTAAAACAGCACTTCGACTCATAATACCTGACGGATCCATGGACACACCAGCCAGCTGGGATGGCTCAAGCACGCCGAAGCCAGCTTTGGCAGAGGGGTATTTCGGGAAACAGGCGATGCCAGGCTCACCAGCCACACCGCACTCAATGAATCGATCGACGCCCACATCAATGGCTTCCCAACAGTCACCAGGCAATTACTTAGCAACGCCGCAGCGAGGGTCTAACTTCGATCCCCCAAGACCACCCAAAGAAGGATTCGAATAGGTGTGGTTTCCAGAAGGGTATTGGGCGGAGCGAGAAGTCCGGAACGTATCCCGCAAAACCAGCGGCAACTTCTGGAAACGATCAAACAAATTGTCCAAATCTCGATACTCTGGGGCCAGCGAGCCTTCTAACTCTGAAGCGGAACCTTCACCTCTGACAATTATCAATCACGGGCCTTTGAGCCCGTCGTCAGAAGAAGCTCTCGTGCTGTCTTTGCAAAACCCCCGCGCTCCAAGCCACATTTGTGACCATCTGCCCAGCATCTCTTCAACTATGAATATCTCTCAGACACACACCGAAGAAATCGAGGTGAACATGAAGAATAATGGATCGGACACACCCCGCAGCTGGAAGTCCATAGGTACGTCCAGTACCAAACGTCGCGGGGAATCTGCAAAGTTCAACTTATTCAAGAGTAAGCCTGTGAGTCGCAGGCACTGATATCCATGGTTTTTACGTATCTGACTTGGAGCAGAAGACAGCTCCCGAGGAGCCGAGTGCACCACCCCACCCTCATCAAATTTCCGCAGCTTTGAAGAAGGTTGGAAGCTCGTCAGGTCTCAAGTCATTGAACTGGGGGTTCACCAAGGACGCCCCAAACAGCTCAAAATCCGGACAACGGTGGTTCGGAAAGTCACCTTGGCATCGCAGAGATTCCAATGACACTATCAGCAGCGTGACAAGTTCAGTTCGAGAGGTCTTGGCTGGCAGAACACCAGCTACCACCCCCGATCCCGAAACCTTTCTTCGTGAGTGAAGCCGTCCTGTGATTTCAGTACTGTGTAAGTAACGCCATAATTCAGACCAATTAGACTACACCATGACCCCTTATCCAGCCGGAGTAAGTTCTCTCGATAATCGCTCATAGCTTGCGTGATTCTGACCTTTGGCGCAGGAAGCAACGCGGGTCAAGACGCCACCTCTACACGAAGACACCGCTGATGGGAGACCCCGAGGTTTCTTCGGGAATGTGATACCACCGGGAGGAGACGGCGACAGCTAGCATCCGGAACCTGCCTCTGGATTCGAGAGGAAGAAGGTGCAAGACTGTCATAAGCAGCTGCCCACAAAGCCCAAGGAATGGTGGGACGCAAAACCGGACCATCGGCCGCGGCCCAAGAAAACGATGAATGCCCAGCCATTCGAGTTTGACATACCAGAGCACCTACCGAGCAGCCCCATGTGCCCGACAAATCCTAAGCATCCATCCGGTGGCAAAGGGATGTGCGTCTATCATGGTAGAAGAAGAGAGGGTTCGCTACTTAAAGTTGGGCAGACTGTGAATGACAGGCGTCAGGGATCAGAGGTATCGATCACCTCAGAGAGAGATAATAGAGATTGAGAGTGTTTGTTGTCAAAGGTCTGAGGTATTGGTAAAGCAAAAAAACTCCGGTTCGTGACCTACGGAACCCAGCACTCCTCCTTATGTAGCTGTCAGTGCAACATGTAGTTTTAGCAAGGCGGACTTCATTGTGGCTTTCCTGATGGTGTGGCGCAGGTGCCTGGGGTCTTTTCGTGGCTGGTGCTCCTAGCTAGCAACAGCTGTGAGGCTGGTCGCAACCCCAAAATTCGAGGCCCATCCTTACCTTCGCCAGCACTCGTCGCAGTCAATTCACCTCAATTCTACCTGGTTATAAATATCGCGCGTCGCAATCCGACCGCAACTACTGTGGATACCCTACTGTCAATTATCAACGCCGAAACTCTTCACGATGGCTGCCGTTGAGCAGGACCCCCTGCTCTTGCTGCGCCAGTCGATCGCATCCAAACGACCTGCGGTTCCGACAGCCTCCTCTGATGCCTCAGCGGCCGAGGTTCCTCTCTCCAAAGCTACACATCTGCGCTTTTCGCACCCGTCGACCGTATCGGTGTCTCTGGATACTCCGACGCGCTTCATATCGAGCGACCGTCCCGTCGACCTTCGATCCATCTACTTCGCCTGGCTGAACAAGGACGTTGCCATTCCCGAATACAATGCCAGCGCGACTCGCCTTAACGAGGAGTTGGGAAGCCTTGGAACTGTCCAGAACCTCGCGTTCGTCGAACGTCTAGACCTGTTTACCTGGCTGGAAGGCGCTAGTGAAGAAAGTGAGCATATCAAGCCGCTGGCTGGCGACAAGGAGGGCAAAGAAGGTGCTGGCGCAAGCGCGTCCAAGGCTGCTCCTGCGGCTGCGTCGAGCAGAGCTGGACGCGGAACGCTGGATCCCAGACTGGCCGTCATCTACAACGGAGAGCGCAAGATGGGTGACCGCAACTCCATTCTGCGCGGTGTCAAGCCTACAGTGAGTCGCATGTGTGGCGATGTCCCCCGGCATCGACTGATAGATTTCACAGGACTTTTCCCACGTCCGCAAGCTCGCCGTTCCATTCATCCAAAAGAAGCCCCAGGGATCGTCAAACATCAGCTCCAACCCTTCCCTCGCACTCAACCCGAAGGCTCCAACGCGTCGTCCCGATCCTATCATTCTTCTCTCGCCGTCCGCCTCCTCGCTCTTGCGATTGTCCAACATTCGCTCGTTCCTGGAGCAGGGGCGCTACGTCAATCCCGATGGTGGTGCTGCGGCCTCGAGTATGTTGCATGTGTCGCGCATCATGAAGGAGATCGACCCCTCGCGCCCCATGCGCTTCATTCTCGTCGAGGGCCCCGAGCAGTTCAAGCCAGAATACTGGAACCGTGTCGTTGCAGTCTTCACCACGGGCCAGTCGTGGCAATTCAAGAACTACAAATGGAGCAACCCGCAGGACCTGTTTCGCCGCATTCAAGGCGTTTACGTTGGCTGGCGTGGTGACCAGCCGCCTGAAAGTGTCCGCGAGTGGGGACACCGTGTGATGCACATTGGAGTCGACCGCTGGCGTGATGGTGCGGGTGCCATCGAGGCTGCCAAATTTAGAGACAAGGAGGCCTCTGAGGCTATCTGGAGGATTATTGAGGCCGGCATGAAGGCCAAGGGATGGACGAAGAGCACTGCGCCCACTCTGCTGTAAAGAGGTGAGGTTGGGAAGACAGAGAGGAAGCTCAGAAATGCGGAGGCATGAGAATCTTCACAGAAGAGAATGGGCGCGCTAAACAGAGGTGCATGTATCAACAAAAAACAGGGCTGGGGAAAGTAAAGTTCACAGCGACGGCGTTATACGGGCTGATTTGTGCAGGACAGAAGATTGGAGAGACACCCGACTTCTATGCAGCTCTATGGATAGGGGGTGCAATGAGTTGGTTCTGGTCATACCAGGTATTCAGAAAGGAGATTGCTAAACGAAGCTAGAGGAACGATACGGTCCTCTGTATTGAACTACAAACGTGCACTTAAGATTGATGTTGGCATGAACACACAAAGATGAGACGGCAAGTAACATTTATTCAATCGATTCATGTACTGCAAGAATCTAGTAATGTCAGGGAGACCAACAGATGCCAACCGGCCGAGAACAGACCTGCCTTTGACACGGCCGATAGCTCCCAGCGCTTGGACCATGCCTACGATGTACGTACTACCTTAGCCAGCACCGCGTTCACTTCTAACGACGCGTCGGACCCCTGTCCCGTTGCTCCAAAATTCCCGATAGTAACCCCAGAAACCTGGCGCCAGCTCTACGGATAATCAGACGTCCATCTGGCGGCAACTGATTCCCCGAGTTCGACGTCTCACCATATCGCTCACCACGATTTCCCAGTCAAGCCATCAAAATGGCACCAAACGCCGGCTCAAGCCGCAAGCGCAAAGAGCCCGAGCTGCCCTCGTCCCTCCAGAAGAAGCGCAGACTGAACGACCTTTCGAAATCCTCTCCGACAACGCCAAAATCCACCCCTGGCGTCGGCTCATCGGCCGTCAAGAAGTCCAGCCGCAAGACCGCCCCGGCCGTTAGCTCGCCATACGAGGTTCCCGACTCCCCAGAGGAGGGCGCTCCTCCAAAACGAATCCGAAACGTTCGAAGCGTGAACCGACCGACGCCCAAGGTTCCAATTGCCGCTCGTGGCCAGATCAATATCGATGCGTACGATGTGCCAGACTCCGACGATGAGCTGCATCTGAACCCCAAGGAGGTGAATGCGCAGAAGGC